ATTAACATAAGAGTACATGCAAATTTTAAGTCACTATAATTTTTCAAAAATCCCATGAATTGATTTAAAATTTTGCAGGTAGCTTTTTAATAGTAATAGGAATCTATAAAACATTTTTCGCTGGCGTCAATAGTTAATTAAAAAATAAACTGGTTTAGCCATTCATCGACTTTCTCTGTGCGATTATCACTGAGAAAAGCGATTACCGATTGTATTTCAAACCCTATTGAATCCCATACGCTGGCCCAATGATTATACAGCCGCTGTGACTATGTAACAGTATCTTCTCTATGCTTTTAACTATAACTATTTAAATTTTGCGGCGGAATAAGATGCCAGACGAGCATAAAACATTATTCTCTTTACGCCCCACAGTCCCCACCGTCCCCACTACTGCTACTGCATGAAAAGGTAGGGTCAGGAGAGGGGAAGGAGAATACCTCTCTCTACTACTACTGCTACTACTCTACTGTAAGTATAGCGCAGCTGATTTCTGAATATATTCCAGGTAATTTTCACACCTGAAGTCGTGTTAAATTAAATCAGCGTTTTCTTAAAAAGAGTACGTGATCACATAATTACACGAAATGGCTTCGAAAGTAAAAAAGGTTTGATCACCCTGGTATTCTAATCGCGATGCGTTCGTATGTAAACAGATATTTGGAATAAATAATTTAGAACATTATTGTCATTTGTAGGAGGAAGTAATAATAATCTTGATAAACATAGGCATGAAAAAGTCTTTACTGGATAAAGCTAAATTCATTACCCAAAAAATGATGGAAAACATGGTATGTATATGAAAGTATTTTAATCCAATGATATAATTTAATAATTAATACCTAAATTTATAGATATTTACCAAACCACACAGCAAAATTGCGGTAATATTAATGAATTCTTGTTCTACTAAGAATGAGTTAAATGCAGAGCACATTGAAGAATTTATAGAGTTCCAAGCTCCAACTTGGGATTGTATAAGAAAGATAATCAATTTGGAGAGTAAAGACTATCGTTGTAATTGGGTAGAAGCCCTTGAAGCGGCTATACAATATGCAGAAAAATACATGTACGTTGCTGTGTATGAAAATTAGTAATCAGTACATAAATCTATCAATGTATATGATTTTAGTGAGGAGGAGAAAAAGATTTCTGAAAAAAAAATTATATTGATGTCTGATTTCAATGAAGACGAAGATGTTATATCCCAATTTAATGCAGAAGCAATAGCTGATAGACTTTCTGAACAAAAAATTGAACTGACCACATTGTATGAGATATCAAAATCTATTCATGACTACATAAGAACGTACAGTTCTACAAATTAACAGGATCACTTCATTATTTTAGAACAGATGAATCATTAGATAAGAAACCAGCAAAATCTCTGACAACTAGCGAGGTGCTTCTTAAAGAAGTCCATATGAAGGTCTTGTATTCCTTAGTGTAACGTCTGTATAATCTGTTTTACAACGCATTATCATCAGATCTATATTTTTCCGTAGGTCAACGCCCAATGTACTACGTTTGACCATGCTATGTCGATCATAAGATATCACGTAACAACAACAAAAGGAACACCGACTTACTTCACCTTAGAATTGGTTGATGTAAAAATACCAATTGCCACTTACGTTAAAGTAAGCGTTCGAACAGCTTGATTTCTTTGTATCTTTTCACTGAACATTGAAACTTCTGTTAGATCATGACAGGTAAATTACCAAACTTGCAAAAGACCGTAGGCGACAAAAAAGTAAGCACGCAAGTGTATTATTTTAATAGAACCAGAGAATCTTTCGAGAAAGATGAAATTGTAGAAGGATTTAAGTACGGTGGAACATTTATTCAAATTGAAAGTATGCCCCTGATTATTCTAAATATATACATTTATATATGACATCAAATATATGAATCCCTTTTATATAGAGAAACTACAGATGGAAATGACTTATAAGAGTGGCGAAAAAAGCTATAGAGTGCACAGTTTCATAAACAGAGATAAAATTGATTTGGATTATCTTTATGTTTCTGGCAGTCATGTCGTTGTACCGGGAAGCAAAGAACAAGTACGTCTCATTGATTCAACGATCTGACAGATAGAAATTGATTTGTAACTTTATTCTTTTAGACCGTGATAGAACAGTTTTATAGCTTAGTGAAGGCGATGCATAACACAAATACCGTTGCTGTTGCAAGAAGGATAACAACCGCCAATTCTGTACCTAGGATGGTCGCACTATTTCCTTGTATGGACGTGCCTGATGAACCATGGGTATTACAAATGAAGTTCTGTCTTATTCGTTCGAATTCAGCTCAATAATATATATTTGAATTGCAGTGCTTAATCGAGATACAATTGGCATTTGAAGAAGATAGAAGGGTAATTGAGCCAAGAGGCATAAAATCGAATATTAAACAATTGTCTGATGAACAAAACGAAGCTGTAGATAACTTAGTAGATTCCTTGACTCTTCCTGATATCGAGTGAGCATATCTCTGCTCTGCTGAATTACCAGATACGTTCTTTCTATTATACTATTTATACATTTCAGAGATAATTGTGAAGTGGACGGTAGTCAACATTTCCTACCAGGATGTGTACCGAACCCTTCAGTACAGCGCTTCTTTCACGTGTTATCGTCTCGTGCTCTGGATCCAAAGAAACCATTGCAGGCAATGGATGATTATATGAACGAAGTTATGGTAATGCTATCGATAAAAGAAAAAGCGCATCAGAGTTTAAAGAAGATCTCACAAGTGTTTCGCCTGAATCAAGAAAAGAAATCAAAATCAACGTAAGTAAAGTTACAACAAGCACGAAAGTAAATCTTATCAATTAAAAACGTTTTGTCTAGAACTGGAAAAGAAATAGGTGAGGATACTGAGACCAGTAGTAAGAAAGAAGTTGAGATAAAAGAGAGCGTTGAAAGTAGCATCGAAATTCCCACATTAAAAGCAGATGTCATGGACGTTGATCTAGACGAACTGGTACGATGAAATGAACACACAAGTTTTAGTCAAAAGATTAATTTCAACTTTTTTATAGGCTGCCAACATTTAATATCGACTATGTGTATCTCAATATTTGCATTAGAGTTATTCCAAGCGGAAATGTTTAAGAATTTTCAATTAAGGAAAACAAGATAAGTTATTTTTTGGCAATCTATTATTGTATGGAAATAAGCAAACGTGTGTTTTCTAAATGATAAGTCTAAGGCCTTCCAAGTATTATAAGATCTAATGTTTCCTAAATATAATTGAACAAGATTTTTATCTTTCTCCTTTCCTTGGGTAGAAATTTTAAACACTGTCGATTTGGTGTAATTTCGTCATCATATAATAAAACGCCAGGAAACAAATCAAATTTATGGACTTGACTGTTTACAAAATTAAAGAGAACGATATAATAATTAATTCACGAAATAATTTAAGATTTCGTTCGAAAAAATTGTAAATTTTTATCTATACGTTTGAAAACTTGCACGATCATACAGATTCATTAAGAATGAAATATAGAACCAGAGACGAAATTTCCTCTTTGGTAAATATGATTGATCGAATTTTCTACTGTGATTGAATTAGTCAATCGTTCCATAAACACTTTGTATCATACACAGAAGCGCCGGTTTTCGTAGCCGCAGCGCATACCCGGCGTGATGGGCTTGCAAGAGTGGGGTTGTCAAATACATAGCGACTTTTATACATATATATATCATTTCTATATGTATTCAAATCGTATTCGTGCCGCGTGAGGTTAGTTACAAACGGCAAGTGATAATTTCGAAAGAACCGGCATAATAATTCTGCTTTACGTGGCAAAAAAACTGCTCCTCCTACTCGTACAGTTAATATACGTAAAGAGTAGTAAGCATATCAGTCTGAATACGACGAGGAAGGATTCTAGTCAAGAAACAATTCCTCTTTAACTTTAAGTGATAATAAGACGTTTAGAAAATAGACAGTGATCTGTGGGCAGCGAGAACATGCTCCCATCAATTATTGTAATACTTTTTGCTATCGGAATCGTGACCGCTGAAGACTGTAAAGGATGTGTTTCTCTAGATTCTTATTCCTTCGACAAGGTATCTGAATTTTCTTTTATTTTAAATAAAAGTATCAACTCTGTTTAATAAAACTAGATTTACTTGTTTCGCGAAATAATTGCTCGGACGTGAATCACAGCAGCTTGCTATGAAATTCATTTGTTTCATTTCGTAAGATAGATAATGTTGCCATGGTTTCCAGACGCTCCAAGTCGTGTGTCGTGTGTGTAATTATGTTGTGTAAAATGTTCTATATACAAACATTAAATTATTCAAAGCATGCTTTAATTATAAAGTATTATTCTGATCAATAAAGCGTCCTCGTTCTTTATGTACGATCGTGGTATTAAGCAACATCTGATAAATGTTTCGCAGAATATTTATAAAGATGTCATATCGTAGGTGATACCAAAGTTTAAGACTGCAGTCGTGAAATTCGACGTGGCATTCCCGTACGGGGATAAACATGAACAGTACGCGCAAATCGCTGCAGCCACGAAAGATTCTCACGATCTGTTGGTAGCTGAAGTCAGAGTAAAAGACTACGGGAACAAAGACAATTCCGATCTCGCTGCTCGTTATAAAATAAAGTCCGAAGGCTTTCCTGCCGTTTTATTGTTTCTTCAAGGAAAGACAGAACCCATTCCGTTCGTTGCGGAGAAAGAAACTGACTTCACGGCGGACAATATAAAACGATTTATTAAAACAAAATCTGGGGTATATCTTGGTCTACCCGGTTGTGTAGAACAACTGGACAGACTCGCAGAGGAGTTTAGAACTACGGGGGAAAAGGAACGAAAGGTAATATCATAGGAATAACGATGATTTACAAAGTTCTTATAAAAGCACATGAATATGATCACCTTTTATTTCGTAGGAAATATTAAACAAAGCTAAAGTCTTCGAGGACACATTGCCCGACGCGCAACGTGCTGCCGCGAAAGTATATGTTAAAACGATGGAAAGAATATTAGAAAGAGGAGACGTGTTTGTTCAAACGGAACAAACGAGAATAGAGGGTATACTAAAAGGCAAACTTTCCAACGAAAAGAAGCGTACAATGGAGGAGAAACGTAATATCCTACATTCGTTCTCGTACAGGGACGAGTTATAAGAAAATTGATCGAACAATAATTTATTAAACATTTTGTAAAAATAGCGTGATATTAAAATCGAATATCCATTGTTTGGTTCGATGCCAATATTTTGCGGCTCTTGTAATTTAAAATGCTAATACGTGTCAGATAAAACTGTCACTCGATACATTTCAATGTTTCAAACTAATTTTCATAAGTATGAATGTAATAAAATATCTGAAGGACACTGTTTCTAATCTTCGATAATGCCTTAAATGTATTTAATATTTTACCAATCCGAACAACAAAGCGTGGAGTGTATTCTTAAAAAATTTCATGAAATTACAATTCTATAATTTCTCACTTTCTCAAATCGTTCACTTGAATATGAATTTCTGTTAAGGGGTACAAATACTAAAAAAGAAGTATTCTCCATTAAGAAATCACAGATAACATGTAACGATCGCACAAACATTGTCTCATAGAACTACAATTTCTTTCATCTGCTTATTAAAGATGCCACTAAAATATGTACTTCCCTACGACGAAATCAATCATCAAAAAAATCAAAGCATATGCATACATGATTACGTTGGAATGTGCACTTAGTTATCACCTCTAACTTATAGACATATAGGTCTTTACTTTTTCTGTTCTGCGTCCTTAACTTGTAACTGTTCTAAATCTTTAGATACTTTGTCCATGTTCTCCCCGTCCTTGATCTGCTTCTTCTCAGCAGTTTCAATTTCATCATTTTCGTCTTTCGACTCTTCTCCTGTCTGCCTCTTCGCTTCATCTTCGTTATCAGTACTTTCACTAGAACTTACAACACTAGAAGGTTCACTATCACTCTCAACATGTTTCTCTTCCATATTATTTTTCCCAGCATATATCTCACATTCTGAGCCGACTATTTCCTTAGCCTTCTCAAACGCCTCCTTCCAGGCAGTTGCATCTGTATTAAAAAAAGAATGTATCAATGGTACGTCTAATGTTTCAAATCCAATACCTATCTCTTAATACCTACTTTCTGCGTTTGCAAATCTTATGGCAAGTAATTCTGGTTTGAGCTGTTCATCCGCATAATCAGCAAGCACGCTCCACACCCATGCTTTGTCGCTACCACAATTAGGTTTCAGTTCCATCCAGGGAGTTACAAAATGATTAGCACAAATTTTATAGGTCTTGTCTCTACGCATCACAACTCTGACTGTGTTTTTGATTTTATGCCTCAGTAATTTCACCTCTCCTGTACCACGCTCCTTCCACTCTGCCGGTTTACTAGCAGAGTCATAGCGATACAATTTTGCTCTCCTGTGGACAGAACAATTACAATTTGATTACAATTGTATAACATATTTGATGATGGTTATCTACATGTGTCTGTAGAGATGAAAGTAATTACAATTTAATCATTTCCACTTCATCTTCTTCATTGGTAGATACTTCTATTAATGGTAAAGACACTATTGGCTCAAAATGAAGCTCCACTTCGTTTGCATCCTCCTCGTTTTCTTGTGTTTCACAATTAGCACTTTGTGCATCGACATGATCTCCATTTACCTGTAAATTAAGACGAAATACAAGTACCTATAATCGTCAGCATTTAATAAAATATAAAGTATTACGACAGTTAAGTAAATATTTAAACTTCAAGAAGATCAAATACTTTTCAAATTAAACAAAAATGAATAAACAGCATTGGGTCGTGCTTTGTTTCTAAACGGACGCGACAATGTAACCTACTGGAATATGTAGAAAATTTTGAATAAATCACGATAAACCTATTCGAACGGATATTAAATAATAGCATCCCGAAGCTGGATAAATACGGATATTATATTCACCTTCATTTTCTCAAAGTTCTATAGAAGCAATTTTGCGATCTCTTGTATCAAATACCGCCAACTTCGAGCTGACCGATGGCAAACCGTGATATTACGTGATAGACCTCCATGATAATTTGTACGAATTTGAAATGGTAACTGTTCCCACGTCGTTCCCTATTTGATGTAAAACACGTGCCGGGAAATTTTATAAAGTGAACTGAAAATCGAAATAAAATCGTTTACAAATGCACGATATGCGAATTTTTAAGGTAAATTAAATTAAGGAAATGAGATATATAACTCGGAACGATCTAGGGAGTTTGAAGGTCGACCAGAATGCGTGCAACACCAAATAGATCCCTCTGGTATTCGAAAGTACGGGAGCTGGCTGTAACTTTTACGATTCAATGGCTCGTTTGAAAAGCTGTTATATTAATCTAATCATTATTGCGCGACTAATTAATGCATCAACATTTCGTTTCCGCAAAAACGGCACGGAGCATGTTCGATAAGTCGACCGGTCGAATCTTATCGAACAGGAAGAGCTCGAACTTGGGGAAGGGGTAAAAGGAAGTGGAGTGCGCGGTTGTCCGGGCGGCCATTGCGGGTACATTGTCCGAAACCACGAATGCGATTGAGTGCTGTGCACCGCGCGAGTGAAATCAGCAAATATCAAAGATCATCCCTGAAAGAAGGTGCTCCGTGTGAAGCCCGGGACGCGCACAAAACCCCGGCCCGATGGCTGAATCCGACAAACTGAATATTGACAACATCATAGCTCGGCTCTTGGAAGGTACATACATGAACCAGTTCGGTTCGCCCTTTTACGAGGGGGAGGGGCGCGATGATACGAGACCATCGTTCGCGTCATTCTTTGTTACACTTCCTCCATACTTGCGCCTCGTTACAAACTGATTGAAGGTCCCCTCGAGTATGCGACGTCCTTCATTTTTCATCCTCCTCCATCCTTTCGCTCTTCCCATCGAGTTTATTTTTACGATTACGCAACTCGCTTTAAATGCAACCTATCTCAGATATTCCAAACGAATCGGTTGTTTGTTTACACGAACCGGAATTGATAGTGCGTAGTAGGAGTCGTTGGCTTGTGGGCGAGGCTCTCGATTTTATTCTGCGTAATCGATACAATATACTTTATACCTTTCAATCCTATGTTTATCCTCCGGCAACATTTAGGTTTTTCGTTTGTATAAATAGATGAAGCTGATTCACGCGGTAATTTATCTTAGAATAGTTCAATTACGTCCTCGTAGCAAATGAAATATATCTAAATAGTTCTTAGCATGTAGAGAAAAATAAATGTACGATAGGTGTGCTAAATACACTTGATTCAGGTCATTTCTTGTTTTCAATTAATTCAAACGAATTGGAGGATAAACTTTAAATGGTGATGATTTTCTCTTTTAGTACGGGGAGCTAGGCCAGGAAAAAATGTACAGCTGACAGAAGGGGAAATCAAAGGATTATGCTTGAAGTCACGTGAAATCTTTCTATCGCAACCTATTCTGTTAGAACTTGAGGCACCGCTTAAAATATGTGGTGAGTTTCATATAAAGAGGTTTCTAAACATGTAAAATACAAGAATGGGGTTTCTGAAAATACAGAATGAATTCACTTTCCTAGGTGACATCCATGGACAATACTATGATCTATTACGGCTATTCGAATACGGTGGATTCCCACCGGAGAGCAACTATCTCTTCTTAGGAGATTACGTCGACAGAGGAAAGCAATCGTTGGAGACGATTTGCCTCCTTCTCGCCTACAAGATCAAATATCCCGAAAACTTTTTCTTACTTCGCGGAAATCATGAATGTGCGTCGATCAACAGGATATATGGTTTCTACGATGAATGTACGTGTTTGTACAGAGACATGATCCGTTAAATTCTGGCTCATAGTTTTAACTCTATTGTCAATGCTTAGGTAAACGTCGATACAATATCAAGCTCTGGAAAACGTTCACGGACTGTTTTAACTGCTTGCCCGTCGCGGCCATAGTCGACGAGAAAATATTCTGCTGCCACGGTGGTCTCAGTCCGGATCTCCAAAATATGGAACAGATCAGACGCATCATGAGACCGACAGATGTACCTGACCAAGGCTTGCTATGTGACCTGCTGTGGTCCGACCCAGACAAAGACACGATGGGCTGGGGTGAAAACGATCGTGGTGTATCGTTCACGTTTGGAGCCGAGGTCGTTGCCAAATTTTTACATAAGCACGACTTCGACCTCATATGTCGCGCTCATCAAGTATGTATGCCGTGATACACGTGTTACGATCCGTTGCGTAATAAATGATAAAAAGGTTGACGAAAAACTTGTGCCAAAATTGTAGGTAGTGGAAGACGGCTACGAGTTTTTCGCGAAGCGGCAATTAGTCACCCTGTTCTCAGCGCCGAACTATTGTGGCGAATTCGATAACGCCGGGGCTATGATGTCCGTGGACGAAACTCTCATGTGCAGTTTCCAAATTCTGAAACCGGCGGATAAAAAAAAATTAACATACGGTGGCCTGAACGCAAATAGGCCTGTGACGCCTCCGCGAGGCGGTGGAAATAACAAGAGCAAGAAGAAGTGAAGTCCTTAGATTCATTTCTCATCCCACATTTCTTTTTGAACGCGACGTTTAGAACTTTAAAACAACTCCTTTTAAACTACCCACCATGTTCTAAGACATTAAGTTCTTGTAAAAGAAAAGATGTTATTGTTATCATTTTTCCTAGTATCGCTATTACTATTATCAATGCTACTGTCATTTTTTCGAACTTATCATTAATTACACTCAGCCATTTACGATCACGTTTTAAAATAGAGAAAAATTCGAAGGGGCATAGTTCGCTGAACGTAACGGATAAAAATGAAAAGTCACTCGTTGATGAAATGGTTCAAGTCGAGAAGGAAATGCTAGTAAATGATTGACTATGAGAAAAGTTCATCTCAATTGGACGATCAGAACAAAGATCGATAAAAGGCTATTATGAGATTCTTCTAGCAGAATCTATCGTTAGAAACTGGAAGAGAAAAACTGATTCATGGCATACTCATTCATATCAGTCTCCTCGCTGTTTTTATAGGATGAACAATCTAGAAATCATTTGCGTTATCACTGACAAAAGATATGGCATGATACAATTGATACGATGCCAGGGACAATTTTATTATGCCATTCTCCGCTTTCAATGGCATGCATACATAGTTCGTTAATGAGATTATTAATATGTGCGTAATATCGAATGGATAGTGGTTTCGATTAACTAACGATTCTGGCTTCATTACTTATCTGTGAATTGCACAAAATTTGTGACTGACAGATACGACTTTCGTAGACCAAACGTTTTCGTAGGATATGCTTTTATAATTACATTTGTATAAATGGCAAAAACGAGAAAAAAACTCTAATATTTTAGCTGGTCGATGAAAATCTATTTCAGTAAATATTTTTAAAAACGAGAATTAAGGAAAGAAGCTTACTTATACACATTTCTTATTTGTATACCTATATCCTAAAACAAATGAATGATACACTAAGTGGTCGTATCCGTATTTGACTAAACGTCGTTGTGGTTACTAATTTTTCGGAATGGGATCGATAACGAATGGTCGAACTGGTATAAAGCCAAGCTGTGAATGTGTACAATGCTAGTAGCGATGTCATTACGCATTACGTACGGTAAGAAGAACGAGGAATGTAATAAGAAGAAACCCCGATTTCTAAGGATTCATCGTATAAACAACTGTTTCCCGAATATAATTTTACTAATCACTTATACACGTTTATATTTTATCGTCAACTCCGTTCATTCTCTCGATACACCTCATGCACCATGTAGACCGTAAAACTACCTATTCCAAAAATGTCAGCTCGCATTCAAGAATGAAATCATTATATAAGATACTGTTCTGTAAAAAAAGAAATTAGCGCAACAAACGAAACACCCTTCATGTCTCTCTTCCTTGTAATTGTATATTAATTTCTATTTTATAAATAAACTCATGGGAAAACATTTATTCATCTATTTTTGTTTCATAACAATTGTTGCTATAATTTTTTTAATCTACACCACATTCCAATGTTACGGTTCAGGAAATTCTTTTACTTTCGTGGCTTAATTTCGTTCATGAAAGACTTTGTGTACATATATAAATATATTTTAGAAAAACAGTGGTACTATTAAAATTACAAATAACGTTGGATAATAAATTCGTAAAGTTTAATTATACAGACTCGTTCGTCTTTTATAGTGGCTTAGATCGAGGGGTGGATAGATGCTATTCGATACTGCTGACTGTTCGTGGACTTATACGTGCGTTTGAAATTATTTAATTGCCCTAAGATTCGAAGCGATAAAATATGTTATTGTTGGCACTATTACGTACGAAGTACATACTATAATAACTCGTCTTTAAAGTAGACTTTTAAATAGCCGTAGACCTGCAAAATGAAGTAATAAATTTACACATGAGATAAAAGACGTACATCACCACCGTCGATTGTAAATTACTACAGGAATCGCAAATGTAATAACTTCGGAACAGGTGTTTATATTTAAAACATTCTTTTCGCTAAGGTGACTCGATGTAACGAAAGAATGGAGAACTTTTTATCAAGAAATAAATTCGTTTCCCTGAACCGTCGTTCTTTAATACAGTCTAGTACGAAGAAAGTCTTGAAAGAAGAGACGTAAAGGGTACAGAGGACCGACGTATCTTTGACATTTAACGGAAATTAATTTGTATCATTGGGGAGAGGTATCAGAGAGTCAGCACCTCGTTCTAATCAATTAACCGCGGTGGTTTAGCGACGAGGTACACGAAAAACGGTCCTCGTCCCTGAGAGAGCACGCCGTACTATACCCGAGTATTTGTCACGTCCAAGAAAGCTCCGCCTTTTGGCATCGGATTCAAAGGAAGAGGATGTAGCCAGCATCCCGTAAACGCGATCTGGCCGAAGCGTGGGTGTCCGTGTAGGAGGATCTTCGAGAGATCCCACCTCCCTCGTGGAACGTCTCCTTTCCTCTCGATCCTCCTTCTCGGCGATCCACGATCGATTCACCTCTGGGAGAGGAAACCAGCAGGAAGGAGAGGAGGAGGAGGAGGAGGAGGAATCCCTTATGAAAAGAGAGAGGGCACGCCATCGGAGAGTGATGTACCGATGATAAGCCACGAGGTGTGTAGTCGGCTCGGGGGAGTTCTTTCTGATTCATCCGATGTCGCGCGTTCGCGCCCGCAGCTTTAAGCTCCTCTTGTCAGCATCCGGATCTCGAGGTGAGGACAAGTCCTGTTGACGAGAGGTGTGAGAGCCCGTCGACGATGTCGGGCATCCTCTGATATTCGGCCAGGATCTCGAACCCCGCTGATTGCCCCGAAACGCTTTAATGAGTGTCCGCGAAAGATAAGCATTCTACGAGCCTCCTCGTCTTCTTCTCGTACCAACGTGGTCCCGTCGTCACTGAACACTGTATCACGTTCCCACGTGTCTATCGGATTGTTTTATGTGCAGAGAACAAAATAAAGTTCACGGGTGATCGAGACCACTGTGTTCAAGTGACTGTGATCAAACTAGTTAAGTGAACTGTACACGAATACGTTTTCTACTAAAAGTGAATCGAACGGATTGTTACATCGGTGAACTTTGAGTCAGTTCGTTGATGCAGTTTAGAAACCAGTGAGAATGCAACAACAACATGAACATCGACACGACATCGTCACCGATTGTTGCTACCAGCAGTGGACGCATCATCAGAATCATCCCCAACCCGTGACGAGCGTACCATCTCCGATGCAACAGATGGAAGGTACTTGAGACCTGATTACGAACTTCGTCTCCTCGATCCACGAATCATCCCCTGTCCGATCCGATCCAATGATCTTTTCCTTTTATCGTTTCAGCGTGTTTACAATCCGCAGGGAGGGCGAAACGCTCCCGCAGCCCGAACTTGCCGAAGCCTTCGTTACCGCCGCAGGTCGTCAATTCTTCGTCGACTTCCGTCGAAACCCGTAATGACAGCAATAATAATAATCATCATCACGGCGATCATCATCCGAGCGAGAGCGCGACAAATCCGACGGAAGAAGTCAGTACGAAAAGACCCCTTCATCCTGCATTGGTAGGCGCCGGGGCAGCTCTCGAAGCGAAACCGCTTTGGGAGGAATTCCATCAATTAGGAACCGAAATGATCGTCACCAAAGCTGGCAGAAGAATGTTCCCTACGTTTCAGGTATCTATCGTCCGTACGTTTCGCGTACTCGTACGAAATTCAAATACACAAAAGTGAAATGTTTCTCAGTGCCGATTTTTCGGTCTGGATCCCACGACCGATTATCTGTTGGTGATGGATTTCGTGCCTTGCGACGACAAGAGGTACAGATACGCTTTCCACAGCAGTGCCTGGGTGGTTGCCGGCCGCGCGGATCCAGTTTCACCGCCGAGGATTCACGTGCACCCCGACAGTCCTGCGAGCGGTGCCCACTGGACGAAGCAACCGGTGTCCTTCGACAAGTTGAAACTGACCAACAATCAGCTGGACGACAACGGGCACGTGAGTGATCGTTTAACGATCTTTATCACGCGATTAAAACGCGAATCGTAAATCTTCGAAGTAGCTTCAAAGCGACGCGAGCCGTTCCGCGGAGAATACACCTACGTTGTAAGCTAGAACGAGGGATGTACGAGTCGTATCACGTTCCACGTGTTTGTCGTTTACGGACGACTTCGCCTTAATTGACCTGAGATACGAGCCTGTCCTCCGCGAGAAATTACAACGCCGCGTCGCGAACGACACGCGGTAAACTGTTTCTTTTCCGCTTTGGCCACATGGTGATGCGTACATTAAATTATGAAATAAATACGATTCTCTCAATGCAATTTTCCACGGAGTGAAACTCGCTCGTAAAACGATTCGAGACTTGGATAATTTCGGTGACGCTCGGCTGAATGAACGTTAAATGAAAAAGCGTTGCGTCGGCATTGAATGGGACAAAGCGTGACGTTGAGGCATGGTTCCATTAGAAGCTATTATCGTCTTACGAGTAATTAGTAGCAATAATTGTTTTAACACGTTCTTCGGATTTATACTCTGTTGGCAGATGAAACTTAATCGCGTAGCGAACGAGTCAATGACTTTATTTCTATCTCTATGGATCGTTGCAAAAGTTCGCTTCAAGAACGACGAAGCCACAATTTATTCTTGAATATTTTCGTTTCGTTATAAACTAGAATCGTATCGATCTTGCCATCGGGTATCGGCAGTCTATCATCGAGTCTCGCCGTATTTCTAGCGGGCGCATTTCCGTTTTGTGTACTCTTTAGATCTTCTCCTGTCCGCGGCTTATTAATCCTGCTCTCCTGTCGCCACGAAGAACGGCAATAGAAACTATACCGCGAGTGAAATAACGTAAACATGTGTAGTATAAACCAAGCACTCTGGAAGCCTGGGAAAAGATCGCCGAGCCTTGGACGTGTTTACGGCTCTCAAAAGAATTTACCAGCATGAAAGAGAGCTCTCCGTTCAGAATTATAAGCGTTTGCGAGGATGCACTGATCGTTTCATAGTTCGAAAAGTCACACCGCGTCGATCCTCGGGAATCTCAATTAAAAGGATTCTGTTTCACGTGATGATTTCGTGATTTGAAAATTTACACTGCGTCGATTGTGATCCTTGAGAATCTCGGTTAAAAATATTCTGTTTCCTGTAGTTTCGTTTTAAACGATAATTTGTTACGCTCTAGTTCGCGTGTCGAACCTCGAGACACTCTTGATTCCGTTCTTGTTCCTCTTCATTGTGTCCTAATGCATCTGCAGTCGGGCCAAAAATAATCGTCCCTATGTATCTGTGCCAAATTCGACGTGTCAGGCACCATTGCAAATAAAGTGATTCAGTGTTGAGGCGCATTGGCATACCGATTAATGAATTTACCTCTCGATCCATTCGTTAGTCGTTAATCAATAGGAGGACAGTGCGCGAAATCTTCGGGACACGGTGATCCCTGATCGCGATGTCGCAGATGATTCTGTTGGGATTGATAGCCATCTGGTTGCTGTTGATCCTGATAAATTCGTTTCAAAATCTTCGCGGTCACATTGTCACTCAACGCGTCACCGATTATTGCAAATACAGATCCATCGGTTTCATCCAGAAACTTTTCTAACTGTTTATCATGCAAAATCATCACATCTTGTCGGTAGGATTTTAAATCATTTTCAAGTTCCGCGCACATAAGTCATTCGATGGAAAAAATATGCAAACCCAGGATCTTTTTCATACGCAACAGACAAACACTGATACTCTTTGGCTCGAGTTCCGTTCGAGAATTTATTGCTCCGCGTAAGAATTTTAACTCGCGGAGAGCGACCCTTCGTTTTACGCGCGCTGGTTTGTTCCTTTAATGCTGAGAATGTGCTGAGAAAAACGTGGCAGCGGGTTTTGTAAAACATTTGGAATTCGCCGTTGAAACGCCCAACGATTTCGGTTTCTTAATTAGCGGCTCCTCCGAAAGTCTTTGGTCGAGAAGCTGCGGGAGCTAACGGGCATTTTTAATCGGTAAACTTGAAGCATGCCAACAAAGCCTGTATAATGTCGAGGAGAAAACCGGAAAACCGGAGAAGAATAGTATGTCAGCGAGCTCTGGTTGACGGTACCAGGCCACACGCAAATACATTCTCTACCGCGAGGATGACTCTTCCTCATCCTCCCTGTTTGTCCCCCACGATCCTTTTTCTGTGTATTCAAAGAGACACATGCTCTGGCACTCTGGGATATGAGTGTGCGCAAGAGGAAGGACGAAGGTTTCGGGTTGCTGTGGAGTGGCTCGGGTTTAGTTTTTACACTAATTAGTCACCGAGACTCTCGTGCCTGTCAAACATTGTGACCGCCCCCCTGTGGCGAGGTTTCCTCTAAAAAAGAAGGGAAATCCTCACGTGTGCTATTTTCTTTCTATTCTCCTCTCCCTCTTCGTTCCTCTTTACTATCCACCAAATTATAGAAAAGCTGCAATGAATCGCTATAAAATAAATTCCTCGTTTAATGTTTCAGATAATTCTGAATTCGATGCATCGGTACCAGCCGCGATGCCACGTAGTGGTAGCACCCTCGCCGCCAGGTTCCGGGCCAGATCCCCGAACCGAGAATTTCAAAACGTTCACTTTCCCGGAGACACGATTCACCGCAGTGACCGCCTACCAGAATCACCGCATCACGCAATTGAAGATCGCCAGCAATCCCTTCGCGAAAGGTTTCCGCGACTGCGAGTCGGACGAATGCGACTCGGTCGCGGTCTCTGGTATGCAGAATCCCGCGAAGAGACCAGCCACTGGGAGCACCAGCGTTCTGTCGTCGAGCTACGTGAACAGTATACCTGCCGTGCAAATCCCGAGCATATCGAGCCAAGAGCATCATCAATTTTACGGTGCCTCCGCGACGGGACCCTGGACCTATCCTGGTCACCATGGACAGCCGGCTGCACACATGAATTCCGTCCACTATTCGACGCATCCTCATCATCCTCATCCTGGAGCATCGTTGTACGGCCCACGATAACGTGGAACCGTAGTGAACGATCGTGATCATCGTATGACCAAAGTTTTAACCGCTGGCCTGCCAACGATGTCAACGAATCGAAAATGAATCGACGCCAAAGTAACGTTTCGTACGATAGAGGCTAATATAATCGTGTCTTATTAAAATTACAACGAACTTTATACCAAAGATATAAAATTAAGCATAGAGTTATCTAATTTATATTACTAAAGAAGATCTTTAAGAAAATAATTATCCTGTTCGCTATTTATTCAAGTGTACTTAATTACTAATAAGATGTACTCGAGCGACGATCATGTCTTACCGAACCGAGCATCGCAGAAATACAAGGAAGAAAATCGAAGTTCTGTTCATGTTAACAACGATCGAATCATCGTGTGATACAAATCGGCTGGTGTCGTAGGTCCGTGTAGTCCAGTCGTAAAAGAAAGTGCCTTTTGTAGGAGCAAAGTGCATCTATTTATACAGGGTGTCTGAAATGCCGAACGAGCCTAAAACGCTCTCGAGCCAAGACGGGAAAAGTAAACGCACCGTGACAACCCATGAGAAAGCTCGACTACTAAGTGCCTTAATAAATTATTCCTCAAGTATCCCGTGCCATTATCTTTCGAACCGTACGATTTTCCATCGACGATTCGGTAAATTGTATCAAGAGATTCAAGCGCATTGCACGAATATTTGAGAAACAGAGAATCTTTTCAAATAAACGTAAACAATTTCAAGTACCACTTGTCTACTTCTTTCCCTACGAAACCTCTGCTCCACTCCCGTAACTCTAAATACGTTCCGAAATGAAAATTTGTCGAAGAAGTTTCCAACCGCCTACTCCAAATTGCCCCGATGGATCGTATCCGCCGTATCACATGATTTGACATTTGGACTGTTGGAAATGACAAGCTATTGCCAGCGAGACGAAGCGGCGCAGAACCGGAGCGTTTCAGTTTGTCAGTTCGTAAGCGTAGAAAAACGGATGGACCGACGTGCACCATGATTGATGGCGACGCGAGAAGCCTCGTTGTGTAAACATATTATATACCGTATCCTTAATGACTCCCTATGAACATCCTTCCCAGTGAACGTTTCGCAGTCGTTCACGAGCTGCACGCGCTTCTGGCAAAGGAATAAAAATACCACAAGTCCTGGATCAAAGCGAGTAAACTAATTATCTCCGTTTAAATTGACTTCGTGCCAATCCTTAATCTATACCGGTTTCCCTTCGGCTTAACACTTAAATCATATAAAGAAGCGAACGTCTCGATCTCTTAAATCGGTTTTCGTCGAAAGAGGAGGGAGATCGAGTTTCAGCACGCGTCTACGAGGAAAACGTAGCTTTCGTTTATGACCCTGGTCGCAGAAGAAATGTCACGAACCGGTGGTGGAAGCACAGACGTTTCGACCACAGAGGGACCGCGCTTATCGGTGACGCGTGACGGCGCCGGCAATAAAAAGCGTTCGTCGGGCTACCTCCGCTTATACTTTCATCTTCGTAGGTGTCGAGCCCGGTGCACATTAACCCCCGACGGGGTCAGGTGACGGAACGCGCTGCTGGTGGCACCTCCAGCTCCAGCTGCCCTCGAAGATCTCATTTTCGGGCCCTTTAAAAAGAACGGGTTTCTCGATAAGTGAACCAAGAGTGTGGCACGGACAAACGAAAGGCGTGGCTAAAAACGTTAGAAGCTTTTTGACAAATCGTAGTGGATGAGAGATGCGAATTTTGCTTGCAATCGCAATGACTGTTTTCTACGCTGCAATAGTCAACGACATAGTTTCGTGTTCTATTGAGGAGGGAAGCACTCGAGGACCTCCAACGAAGCGAATAGCTAGCATTTTTCACTTTCCCTTCGACCACCCAAACATGATCGCTTATTCTCGACGGAAATTCTATACAGCGAACGTTGCTTTATATTTAAGACGAGATGCCACATAGAATTAGAGGAGAATAAAATGATGTAGTATATTCATACAAAGTAACTCACGTCGCTTAATAAATCTTGCTAATTTTCCGGTAGTAGCTCGTTGGTTTCGGATCAAAGACCGACAAATGAATCGCTCAGTAGATAGAAGAAAAAAAAGGTGAGAAATAGGAAGAAAAAGGAGTGGGAGGAGGCGTGCATCCGTAAACCGAAACATCTCGGGGTGCGGTCTTGCGTTATCCCACGGGCCATGAATCCGTCATCGCCGGCTACCAGCAGGAATACCGCGTATACGGTGCCGTCGACTACCAGGACTTTTATAGCTTAGCAGTTTGACACGACCAACTGATTTCCATCGACAAAAATCAAGTTCCGCGCTCTCGACGAAAAGAAAGACCCGACCCGACCGTCGGCGAGTCTCTGTCAACTTCATGAATCCTCTGTACATCTTTTTTAAGAACTACGACTAACGAAACGCAAAAGCAATAACGATCACGTGGCTGTTTTTCTATGAAGATTCAAAACTATGTGAAAAGAAAGAAAGGGAGGGAAACAGTTTCCAGGAGTTTGTCACGTTTATAAAGACAAAAAGAACATTTGTTATTTCGAGAACTGGGAGAAGCTTCCGTTTCAGTGCAAAGCTCTCAAAAGAAGAGGAGCTTGAAGACTGTGAGACGGTGGCGTATACGACGAGCAGAAGTTCATATCTTGCGGTACCAGCCGCACGAATATGGCTGTAATGACAGATTTACAGATTCCAGCCATCGGGCTCTGGTCGCTTCTTCGGGATTCTTAAAGCGTACGTTCAACGAGCGAGATGTGCCTCGGATGGCCGGAGTGCGCGTCAAATCGCACCTCGACTGTTTATGCTTTACGTCTGCAACCCTTCCGTCCTCCCTCGTCTACTTCTTAAAACTTCTTCGTCACCGCCATCGTTTTCTTACTACGTTTGCGTTTTATTTAAATATTGAATCTAAATCGTCGGGCTTTGAACCACGAAGCTTCGGATTTCCCAAACGATTTAAAACTGTATTGTCCTACGTTCAACTATAAATTTAAATCGGCGGGTTTTGAACCACGAAGCCTCAAATTTCCCGAACATTTTAAGAATCTATTGTTATACGTTCGTCTATAAACATTTAGCTGGTTCGTAGCTACCAAAATTAAATCTTCTAATTGACGTTGAAAAGTAATGAGGATCGTCGTTAGCTCGTGGTTCGGTCTTATTAGTAACAACAAAATGACTGTGGGTTACCGGGTGTCGACTCATCCTCCGTAATTGCATGACGACAGGTGACTTGGAACAAATATGATTTAAAATTGGAATTCATCGTAAATTTAACATCGTGCCAAAATGGCAAATGTTCCGGTTCTTTTTCTCCCACGCGCGCGTCACTTCCTGAACCGCATCTAAATACAATGTGTCTTTTACATCGACTCCTATCACCGCGTTGTTGTTCTAAAATCTTTTTGAGGGACATTAATATCAGATTTGAAACGAGCTGCTCTCAAAATTAATTTCATTGATATACACGCGGAGTAAATGGGGGACAGGAAGAAATACGGACATGTCTGTTAGCGCTATGAAAACTGTCCAAGCAACCGAAGTATCCGAAGACAGACACTGACCGTGAACCGCGGGTCCCAAAAGAAGTTTACCTTATGTCGTAAATAGAGGGACGTCTTTCTCCCGTTAGAAGTTGACAGTGCCACGTGCTCCGTAAGCTTCCCAGAATTACGACTGATAGTTAATAGTGTTTAATTCAGAGCTTCTTGTGCGTACAGAATGTACTGTACTTCTACAAAGAATACTCTCAATAAAGACTAAAGTAGTAGAGCCATCGCGATCGATCTAATTATTAAATGAACAAACGGTATAATGGATATTGGTTGTTATAACAATACGTATTTATCAGTGCTGCGCGAAATACGGCACGCGTGAGGTAGAGCTGAAAAGATTTTCGCTGTAACATAGTCGGCAGGCATATCCTATCTCACCGCTGGAATCCTCATATGTCTTTCATCGTGGCTTTCCAACACCTCGGAGGAGCCTCTCGGATCATTTTGCTCGATCTCTCTTCCTCTTTTCTTCTGAGAGCCCATGTCTCAAGCCACAGGCAATACGAGAAGGCAATCATATCCCATCCCACTGTCCCAGCTCGACCAAAATATCACTTCGACTACTTACCGAGAGTGGCCAAAACCAGGGCCGTGTTACCACGGTGTACCCTGTCCATGCTAACGCTTCTTCGAGTAGTATCTGGTTCGGGACATTCTTGCAATCGTATCTTCGTCTCGTTAGAAGCAGGATAGTGATTACGGTCTCGTAAAAATGTTATATTTGGTTCTATCGCGTCCCGATTTTGCCGAATCTTTAAAGACGTGTTCAAAATGGAAATATTTAAGTATCATTTTAATTTCATTAAGATGTCTTCACGGGTTGTAGCTCTAGTCGTCAGTTATAAATAAGGTCCTATGCAATTTTCCTGTAGGAGTACGATTCAGGAGATTTTTAGGAGAAACGAAATTTTTTGCCAGAAGTTTGCTGTTCCGACGGAGGAATAGCCGGATTATGTCAGTACCCATGAAATATCGATTAATCATATTTAACTCGTTAAATACCCGAGTTAGAAGAAAAATGCATATAATCTTCCTTGTAGAGGTCTACGACTTTTATTTAAAATATTTTTCGCTAACGTTAGTAAGCTGTTTTAGCCATTTATCGACTTTCTCGGTGCGATTACCACCGAGAAGAGCGATTACCGACTGTGTGTCGCTGTCCCGATTTCACAGGCACTGCCGCTGTTTAATAATGTCTCCTCGGTGGTTGTATCATCGTGCGTAGTGCGTTTGATAAATTCTGTGTTTGACCTGTACAATGTTCATAAAAACAGTTTCGAGGCAATTATAATTTTCATCAAAATTTGTCTGTGCCTAAAGATGGATATGAACTAGAGAACACGATCAGTGTTTAGAAGCAAAGCTCTTGGTTTTCAAAAATATAACCTTCTTCTATAAAGTAACTGTCAGCTGCTTCAACGTGTTTAAACCAATAGTTTTCAAACAGACATTTGTTACCTTTCTGTATTTTCTTTTACAGATAAAAAAAATGGATTCACCAGGGTTGCAAGCTCTGGAGGTAGCCAAGAACATGAAAGACTTGTCAGTGTTCAAGAAACCGACAGGAGTAGTTAAAAGACAAAGAAAAGTGCAACCAAAAATTTTAGATGAAGATACATATATTAAAAGAATGGGGGAAATCATTCAAAAAGACTTCTTTCCACATTTGGATAAGCTTCAGGCACAGAATCAGTATTTGGACGCATTGGAACAAAATGATGTGAAAAGAATGAGAGAGCTCTATGAGAAATATAGTTCTGGGAGACCGACGACAGAGAGACCAGCTAGTCCAGCTACTTTTGAAACACCTTTGAACAAAACTGAACAGGATGATGAACAATTCAATGCTTCGAAGTTAACAAAAGAATCATCGGTCAATGCGAGTATTAAGGATAAAGATAAATCAGAAATTACAACTGGCTTAGACGCATATTTAAGTACACATACGAGCGAAGATAATGCAAGTTTCGAAGAGATGATGGTAGAAACAGAGAAAAGACTTAAACTGAAGTTCGCTTGGCTTTACGAAGCTGAGGAGAATTCTAAATTAGCACTAACAAACGATGAATCCTCAGATAAATTAGCTATTGAAAATGGTAATAAGAAATCTAATCAATTAGATAGCTGGAGTTATAGAAACAAGAATTATATCATGTACGTTCCTGATGGAGTTGAACTAACACCTGACGAGAAAATAGATCTGGCTAAGAAGAAGCAAATAGTGGTGCATGAAAATACGAGACTTAGAACTAATCCGTTTAACGAGCAACAGAATAAAGAAACCATTAATGAACTAGCAAAGAGTCAATCGAAAGCCAATGATGGAAAGATCGGAGTTGATGGCAAGGAGATTGTACGAAACCCTACGCCAAGAGTGAACGGATTTAGTTTTGTAGCGACTCCAAGTCCAAGACCAGGAGAATGTGAGAGTCCTTTGATGACCTGGGGTCAGATAGAAGGTACACCGTTCAGATTAGACGGTGGAGATACACCTTTATTAAGATCGAATCAGGGGCCATCGTTTAGAATGGCAGAACCCCCCAAGAGAGAGCAACTCGCATTGCAGTTGGCAGAAAAAGCTGGTGAGAGACACAGGGATAGAAAGAACAAAGCACTGGAAGCAGCAAGGAAATCATTAGCAACGTAGGTATCTTTAAATCTCCTACATTTAAACGTTAGTCAGAAGAACTATCTTTCATTTTACCTCTTCTTTACAGGCCATCACCCAGATCGACCATAGATCGTCTCAGCACTATGTCCCCAGCCGCTAGAAGATTAGCTACGCAAAAACTTCGGATCGCGAGTACGCCTAGTCCACGAAGAATACAGTCTTTACGGACACCGTCGATAGGTATCAGAACACCTGGCACTCCACGAATAAATACACCGAAATCCGAAAGTCTTGGATCACAAGAAAATAGTACACGAAGCCAGGGCCCTGTTCTTACGGATAACTTACTTAATTTACCTCTTCAAAGGCAACGAGCGGCCGATTTTTTTAACAAGTAAAATGTACGCGAACTCGATGACTTGTATATAACTGTAAATATACATTACTGTATTGTTAAGGAAAATAAATATTTTATAATGAAATACTTATTTAAAAAAAGTCGAGTTCTCTTTTAATACCAAACGATACTGAATACCGTTCAAGTGACTTAAGGATGTATTGGCTATACAATCAATCCCAAAAGTTTATGCACTTTAGAAACGCATTTTTTAAAAAGAAATCAGACGTCGGAAGAACATTACTAATAATAAACAACAAAAAGAATTTTTTTGTTTTTCCGAAATTTTTCCAAGGGGTACCCCTTCAGATTTTGCGAAATTTTCGTTTTTGGCCAATAACTCCCAAACCGTTCGAGATACGGGAAAATTGCATCAGACCTTTTTTGTAGAGGACGACGAGATCTACAATTTCCATGTAAAAATATTTCACTAGCGTCAATAGTTAACGAGTTATTGACGAAAAACGAAAAAACAGGTTTTTGCAAATAACTCGTAAACTATTATTGCTAGCGAAAAGTTTTTACATGGAAATTATAGATCTCGTCGTCCTCTACAAGAAAGGTCCTATGCAATTTTCCCGTATCTCGAACGGTTTGGGAGTTATTGGCCAAAAACGAAAATTTTTTCCAAAAGTTCGCCGTTTCGACGCTGGGATGGTCGGATTTTGTCAACATCAATAAAATGCCATATAATCATATGTAACTCATTAAATATCGAAATTAGAAGAAGAATGCACTATTTTTAATTATAGGAAATGCGTTTTTCTAAGGTACATAAACTTTTGGGATTGTCTGTATAGCCAATACATCCTTAACTTCTTTCCAGTTATAAGAATGATTAAACACGGAAGTACCGATTCGCCAGATTATCACGTACAGAGATCGATATAAGCTTTCATTTACGTTTTCGAAAATATTTACACAAACACATGTACTATGTACAAAGAATGCGGTTCCTCAGCATCTTATAAATACAGGAAGTTCCTGAGATATCTTTAAAGATAACAGGAAATGAACGTACTACTGGATTGTGAAATTTACCTTTGAACTCGGTATTCTTTTCGTATATATAAGGCGGTTTGAACAAGGTACCAGACAGAAGTGGATGATCCTCATCGACATGAAATCCTCGACCCTGAGTACCCTTTTCGTGGTAGCGACAGCGTGTACGCTGATCGTTCAGATACAAAGCCAATGCGCTACGTGTGGCGGATTGGGGCAAGGTATATAATTAAAATAATATAATTTCTTTATTATAAAACTGTCTGTTAAACTCTGTTGTCTTCAGGTTCAAATCCTTGTAGCTGCACCGATGTCGTCGTGCAGGCTGCGAAACTACCAAAACCAATGTATTACGTATCGCCGCAGGAGATCAAAGATGCTGCGACTGCAAATACTATGATTGTATCAACCGATACATCATCGCAGCCTGATTATTCAAATTCGCAAAATACTGGCAGTGTCATAATCACTGATAATACTGAGCCTAGTGCTTACAGCAGTATCACGACGACTACGTACAAGAAAGGTTGCGGATGTCGCGGAAACAGTCAAAATGCGTATAGTGATTCAACTGTACAAAGTGAAAGTGCTTCCATTATATTAACTGATGGTGGTTCATCAGATTCTTCTTCTGGAATTGTATTAAATGATAGCGATTTCCTCGATTCGTCCGGATCGATCGTATTGAGCGACGGTGCCAGTCCTGGATCCTCTGGAGCGACTGTAACGTACGCGGCTGATGTATCTTACACTGACAATTTGGGAGACGCGCAAAACGTAGAAACCGTAGATGTTGAAGATACAATAACGACGACGACAAATTTTAATGGCAACATCGTACCCAAGTATTTATTATACTCAAAATAATTGGAGCTTTCTCAAAATTAGACGATATTTAAGTTTTTTGATTTACAGATTTTCACCGATCGGCGATCTGTGCTATCCTCTTCCCGTGGAACCACTTAGTGGGAAAATAATAGAACCGAAGATAAAGACCAAAGGACAGAAAGTCATAGTCACACCGGCTTATCCCGGGAAATACGTGTGCTGTCCCCGTTCGGTTCCCTATGAAATATGTATAAATACAGCAACCGGAGAAATGAAAACCCAAACGCTTGTGTCCGATTCATCCGATGCAAGTGCATCCAGTTCGATAGTGTATGGAGCAACTGGTAACAACGGAATAAGTGGATTATTCGGAGGATCGAGAACTGGTTCGTTCGGAAGTCTGAGCTCTGGGACGTTCGGGACATCGGAATCCGGAGCGTTTGGTGGATCCAATATTAATTCATATTCATCGTTTACTGGGGCAAATTCTGGGATGTATAATTTGCCTCTAGTGTTAAATTCTGCGAATGGACAGCAGCAATATGCGAAAATGACTATGAGCAGTACTTCCGCCGATTGCTTCGACGATATCGCAGGTTCGAAGACCGCGGAACGTACATTCAAATTGTTAACTAAATAATAAAGAAAAGAATAAAGAAAATTATATGTTTTCAGGTGAAACTTCGGTAGATTATTCGTCTGTATATCCAGCTCTACCGGCAGACGCTGTGTCTCTGACTCTCGCATACAAGAATCTCCGTGGCCCAAATGTGATATATAAAAAAGGGAAACAGTTTGTCCCTGAGGATAAATTATCTTTTGGTCACAGAACAGTGCCAGCCGACGTAAAGATCGAAAGCCGGATTCCCGATATAGCTGAGGAGAAACTAGTTACGGTCGATAAGCCTGTTGTCGAATTAAGATTGACACCACCAAGGACCATCGTCCTCGGGTCTTACGATGAACAGGAAGAAGCTAAGCTCGCGGAACTTGAAGCAATCGAACGCGAAACTCTAACGCAAGAAGACCAAATGGCGGATAGTCTTATCACCTACAAGTAAACTTAACAATTTCGATTATTCCTTAAGATTCATAGCGATGCGTTTATACACAACCGTTGCATTAATTATTTACAGGGAGTTGGGGTACGCTCCGGTAGGTGTAAATTATGCGCAACCCATGCGTTATAATCAAGGAATAATTAACGGAAGACTAGAAGACAGCGCAGAGGAACCGTGCGGTCCTCTAGGACCACCGTTACCCGGTTACGTTCCAGGCAGCGTGGTAGTTCAAGAAGACTTCGTCGATGGTGGTTTGAGTAGCTCCGTTATAGGAGATATTGACTCGACCCTCGAGATTCAAAGACCATGTGCATAATGAATTCACACATGTACAGAAACGTGAAAACAATAAAAAGAAAATTGTAATAAGAACTTGGTTTCTCTCATTCCTTTACCATAATTCCGATACTCCGATGATTCTAGACTTTCCCATTTCAAAATTACAAATTGTAATGCATGCGGGACTCCCGAAATGCAACATCTGCAGGTTTCAGGAAATCTGAATTTCCCTTTAAAATAACAGTTAGCAATATCTGTTGCACGTTACTGTGTCGAGATTTACGATGGTTCTTCGACTTCCGTGGTTTAACCGAACTTGTCAACACTTCGTGAAACACTCTCGAGAAGGGTGAACGGGGGGACCTCCTCTTGGCACCATATGGTATATATGCTACGATGATTCTCTCGAAGGGAGTGCAACATATAAAACGCATTGCTATTTAAAGCATTGTCGTAATTCTCTTGAATGACTCTTTCACTTTCCTCGGTTCTCTACCACAATATGTGTCACGAAACTCATTCTTCTCATCCACGGATTCTCCCGACTTCGTTCAGACTTGGTCTATTTCATTGTCGCAGCTTGAATGTTCATGTTCTACGAATCGAAGATTGATGAACCACATACCCGCAGATAAGAAATATTTCCATGACGATGTATCGAAGAGGCATGATGGAATGTACACGAGCATTTTTCATTTAGGAATACGTAATACGTTTTGATAATAACGCTTTTGCATATTGACTGACATAAACCGGCAATATTTAGAATTCTTAGCAAACGATATATACATATGTATGTGATTAATCTTCCTTTTTATAAGCATGCTGGATATATATGTTATAAGCTATATATCTTATAACTTCCGGGAATATGAATTTGAATACAAGTTAACGCGCTGTAGTCTGTTTCAAGCACGTACATGCTACAGTTACGAAATTCGAGCAAAGAATTCGTCGAGTTCCGCTCTTTTTTACTGATACACACTTTGAGGATTACACAATATGAATTTCCTCCGGACAAACAGGAAGAGAGATTATTTCCAGTGAAGGTATATTAACGCAGGTAGAATGGATACCAGTACAATCGTATTTGATCAAGTGAATTTTAAGATATTAACATGAATTTAATAGCGTGGATATCCGTTTATTCTATTGTCATTTTGGAAATTTATTGCCTCCCTATTGACGAAGGATGCAATTGCAACGGTGCTGAAATTGTGACATATGGCGAGCCTTGCGTTACGCTTCACAAATACCCTTTTCAAATCGAGGTAAATCAGTGATTCACTATAAAATCTGTTGTAACTTCACGATAAATGATTTTAGGGTCCTAAAGTAGTACAAGCGGAAGAAACTGTGCAAATCAATGTGCCTGCACCAATGCAGTTCATTAAAATAGTTCCAAACACTTACGTTGCAAATACTTATCAACCCCGTCGCGTTGAATATCCAATGACAGTAGAAACGCCGCGCGTTATTTCCAAATCAGCGGAAAATATAGTTATAGAGAATACTGGACATAAAAAAGTATACGAGTACACTGTCCAAGTTCCTTCTGCTGTTAATCCTCCACCGCCTTCAAGAAATTACAATTACGAGATCGAGGCTCCAGTCCCAACGAAAGAGTAAGCGCTTCGTACATTAATAGACTCTATATATTTCTAAATACAATTTTACTGTGTTTTCAGCGTCACGGTCGAATGTGAAACGAGAGAAACAATACCGCAACGACTGACAGGACTTGAATCTCGAATCGATCGAGTGCTGGTCCCCGCTTGCGAAGTTCCATCATTATCATCACCGTGCCAGTGTTAACTGTATTTCGCAACAATGTACATTGAGATGTAATAAAACTGATGAACATCGGTTTATAGAAATCCTCTTATTTTTTCCTTATTTTCATAAGCTGCAACTTGAAGTGCGTGTGCAATCGCCAAGAAACTAAAAACGTGCTCTTTCATTGTTCGTTCCAACGTATGTGTGCACGTAATCGGGCGAGTTAATCGGGAGCTATCTGAATTAGTAATCTGGAGCCCCAAAATTGCGCACGATGTGCGTGCTGTTTCGTAAAATATGATATCGATCCCGCGGGTATATGAAGCTGCGAGCGTCGGCAGAAGTCAACGAATGGATTTCGATCAAGTAAATCATGAAGAACCAGTATCCAACGATCTTCTTGTTCTGCGCAGTGCTGTGCATCGCCAGATTCACTGCCGGTGAAGAGAACACGATAATAACCGATGAAAGAGTAGAAAATACTGTGATTCAGCAGAACGTGGACGGAGAGGTACCAGTCAACTACTCTAAGTATCAATTATTTCTGTAATAGACGACGTTTACTAAAAATCGAGCGTTTTCAGAAAATCGCGGATATTTCGGCATCGTTGAGATGGCAATCGAAGGGTTTATCCGAGGTGCTTTCCGGTATACAATTCGGTAGTCCACCATTGAGTTTAACGGCAGTCGAGTCGTTGGAGAAGCATTCCTGTGAAGAAGAGGCTTCGACGTTCGGTCACGAGCATGTCTGCGAGGTCGCGGCCCATGAAATCTTTTGCGAGATGAGCAAGCTCATGGTCTACGTCTCGATGTCTACCCAGAACTTGGAGGTGAACGCAGGACCATTGTCGAACGCCACGGACGAAGCGGCATCGTACGTTCAGATGGTTTTCAACGGAGCTTTGCCTGAGATCATAGAAGTCAGCGGAGCTACCTTTGAGGACTTCATCAATAATCCAGAAAACGTGATCAATCTGGTCGATGCATTAAAGAGATCGGTCCCTACTTCTGGCATCATCAGAAGCGCGACTAGATTAGCAATCGCTATTAACAAGTTCGTCGAGCACGCTTATAATCTCCTCGTGTACATGGGTGTTCCTAATCTCGTTGACTTCTTCAGACAAGTTGCGCAGGGACTCGTGACTGTGCCAGGAGCGTTGTTGAACTTCCTTGTCGACAATGTGTTGTATCCTGTAGCGAACACGCTCATCGAAACGATTGCCTGGTGGCTAATGATACAAAATAACTTTCCGGGTTACTTTCGACAGTTGTTCTATAAGTATCTGACGGTTGTAGAGGAAATCATTGATATTACACGTGCTTCTTACAATGGATATTCGGCTTCCGGATTTTCTCAAATAATGGTCGACACAGTTTTATCAAAAAACTCATCGCTGGGGATGATGTCGATGATACAAAATTATTCAACGGCCAACCAATTAACAATGTCCACTGACACGGGATCTCCGTCACTGCAAAGTGGTCTATCAGAACTGATTACGGACGTCACAAAAAGTGCCACGGAAGATGCTCAACCTTGGCTGATTCCTGCAATTACTAAGTATAGCTTATCGTTACTTCGACCAGCAGCCTCAAATTCTAGGGTAATTGACGTTTCGATTTCGGATGTGAACATAGGTGATGACAACGTGGCCTCTGTAGAATCATCGCCAGTTTCATCCTCCGGAATAGCTGGAACTCTGGAAAACGATTTGACAAGCTATTCTTCGCCGTTGATCTCTTCCCCGTCTATATCTTCAGGAAATAATGTTGTTCAGTATTCCGCGATAAATGTACAATCAAAAGACAATACACTGTCGATCTCCGATCAAGCTTCTCTCGTACCACGACCCTCAGATTTTTCTAATATACGGTCTGAATCTTCTGTTTCATCTGCACAGATTTCGGAGTCTTCGTCGAATCTTTCGGTGAACGATGGAACGATCGCTGGATCTGATCAAATTTCTGGTGTAAATCCCATTGCTCCTTCAAAGATCTCGGCGTCTTCGTCTAGTCTTTCAATGACCGACGAAACGGTTGTCGCATCTGGTCAGTCGATTCCTCTTCCTTCAAAAATCTCGGAATCTTCGTCCAGTCTTCAAATAACGGATAAAACAGTCGTGGCATCCGGTCAGCCAAGTCCGATAAATTATCCTACTCCTCCTAAAATCTCGGAATCTGCATCAAGTCTTTCAATCACTGATCAAACTCTTGTCACGTCCAATCAGCCTAATCCTTTAATTTATCCCATTCCTTCTAAAATCTCGGAATCCTCGTCCAGTCTTTCTATGACTGATGAAACGATCGTCGCGTCCGATCAACCCGCTCCTGTAATATACCCTGCTCCTTCGAAGGTTTCGGCGTCTTCGTCCAGTCTTTCTATGACCGATGAAACTGTTGTCGCGTCTGGTCAGCCCAATCCTCTTCCTTCAAAAATCTCGGAATCTTCGTCCAGCCTTTCTATGACCGATGAAACGGTCGTCGCATCCGTTCAACCGAGTCCTATAAATTACCCTGTTCCTTCGAAGGTTTCAGCGTCTTCATCCAGTCTTTCTATGACCGATGAAACTGTTGTCGCGTCTGGTCAGCCCAATCCTCTTCCTTCGAAAATCTCTGAATCTTCGTCCAGCCTTTCTATGACCGATGAAACTGTTGTCGCGTCTGGTCAGCCCAATCCTCTTCCTTCGAAAATCTCTGAATCTTCGTCCAGCCTTTCGATGACCGATGAAACAGTCGTCGCTTCCGATCAAAGCTCTATCGTAAATTCCAACTCTTTGGATTCCTCGATCCCTTTAACTTCGGGTACAAACATCGTCTCTGAAAATCTGGAATCTTCCGCTACTATTGCCAAAACTGACAATTCTTTCTCGAGAATAATCAATTCATACTTGCCACGTGGAAATCCCAGAGGAGTATTTAATCTCGGCTCTTTGTCTTCGCTTTCTTCTTCCAGGATTAATACCCCTACTTGCGGGACATCAACTTTCTTATCTTCGTTATCGAATCTTAATAATTTCTTGAACAACATTGTATCGTCGCCTCTGTATATTCCGTTAAAAGAAATAGCATCGGCTTTGAATAATGTAATTCTGTCCCCCGGCGACGTGATCGTTATTTTCCTCAGGAATAATTTGGGACTGATCGGACGTATAGACGGTGGCATACAAATTTCCTTCAGGGTATACAGGCTGAGATCGACGGTCTCGACGAATAGTCAGGAAGGTGTAAATATTTGGCACATGCAATCAAGAGAATTTCCATCTTGCGAACGCAGAATCCGCTCGTTATTTCAGAATTATTAGTATCTTAAAAATGTAACCGTTTACTACATATATTCATATATTTATTACGACTAAGCTCTCTAGTTGTATCATACGTTGGAATAAAGATTATTTATTTATATGAAACGAATTTCTTAATTTGAGACTAAAGTTCGAGGTTAAAACAAATCCTTTTACGAAGGATCATCGGGTATTACGTAAAGCAATCTTCATTATAAATAAAAATGATGTGATGCGGCAGCGTAAAGTTTAACAAGTACAATGGCAAGTAGTAACAAGTAGAATGCGATGATTGCACAATTTCCGGGATACAAAGGCTCGCGGGAAAAAATGCAAATCATCTAGCTGTACGGAATAATTAGTTCCATCAAAAGTAGGCATTCGAGGGGGGAGGAATTCGGTTTAATTCAAGTATAAGACGAAGACGAGTCAGTGTAGGAGCGCGCGTTTATCCGACGACAAAGAAATTGAGAACTTCAAAGTATATACAGGGCTAAGTGGTTATTAGCTTGATCTTTGATCTTAATTCGTTTTATCGTGGTGGCATACTTTGTCCGAAGCTTCCGAAGCAGTTTGCTTTGGTCTCTCCAACAGGAATCGTCACAGAGCTAAACAACGATTCGAGCTACTATGTCCCGAATTCTTTTGTTCGCCTTTCTGTTCGCCTGCTTGGTGTACATACTGCAGGTAAATAGGTCATAATTGATTAAAACGAACGTGAATCTCATCAGTGAATTTCGTGACCGAAGATATATTTCCAATTTTCGTTATTATTTAGGCCAGCCCTGTGCCAGACGATGCACCGTCAACGTCTCCTCCATCAGTCGATCTGGATGATATAATGAGCAAAGCGAAGAAAGCGCTCGACAGTGCTTCAGATGCGATTTCGAAAGGGAATCTGGACATGGCCTTAGACAAGGCGAAGGAGTTGTTCGAAAACGCTGGCGAAAATATCAAGAAAGAAGTAGAGAAGATCGTAGACAAGTTGCGTGATTAATTATTATCTGTGTACGTCTACGATTTTTTACAATTGTAATTTGATCAATGTTCAGCAGTGTCTCGTTATCGCATTTCTTCTATCAATGTTATAATTACGAATTGTACTAAATCTGTTATTAACAGTTGTAAGTTTCTCGGAACCAACGTGGTTCAAAATAAAACTGAAAACAATATATATTTTATTGTATAAGTAAAAGAATTCATTTTTCCGATCCTCCTATTTTTTTTTCTGACGCACGAAGAAAATAGATCGCATTTAAAACTGAAAAAAGTATCTCATTTACATGGTTTATTGATTAACGCATGCAAAATCAATTCCGCATCTACTTATTTTAAACAAAGAAGAAAATGTTAAAATCGTATGAAAGTAAGCCAACGTAAAATGTATGTAGTATGAACGCACGTGTGGTAGAATCAGTGTGGTCACGGGTCAAGGTTTCTATTGACCGAGAACATACAGTACGCACAGATAACCAGCTGGCTCGTATGGACTTTGAAGAAACGATTTCGTAGCATCGACGGTGCACATGCATACGCATTGATCAACATATAGATCGATGGAAGATTTTTCCACGAGACCTTGCCCCCCGCACGCGATTTCCGGGTATCAATTATTTACAAATAAATATTAAACACGATTGAATAACTTGTTAAATATTCTTTTCTCAAGCCGGCTGACTCAGTAATTTCAGAATTTATTCATTAAATCGTATGCAACGTTTCCGGTACAAGAGAGGCGAATTGATAAAACTGTGAAGCTTATAATTTAGATATTTTCGGCTAATTTAATTCGCTCTGAACGATATCTTATTACCTCGAACTTTAACTTCTCTCGTATCAATTTAAAATCGATGTACTCAATAACACTATTTATAACTCGATATGCACGATGCCAATTTCTTTTTTTAAATATTATTCTGACTCAATAATGAAAAAGTTTCATAATCTCGTAGTGGTATCTCGTACGTTATCGGTATGTATTCCCAAATCATTTCATTGGAACATTGAAATGTGCTGGGAGAATGCATTAAATATTGCATTTATTGGTATTTCCTTGACGAATACTCGAGAAATTCGGGCAAATTAACATACAAGTCGACGAGGAAAATAATCAACAGTATTATGACAGTGTTTGAAGGGGGATGGAAAAGTCAGAAGTCTCTATCGTCAGAGCAAGATAGCTGTTAGTGTGCCCCCGTGCACCCTCGATAAGAATCGCCTATAAAAGTTGTAGCTCCTCTGAGCAACGTATCAGTCACTTTCTAGTTACTTCACGGATAGCTTCAACTGTAAAATTCGAAAAAATGAAGATTTTCGCAATCGTCTTGGCTGTCGTGTTGGTCTCGGTGAAAGCTGCCCCGAGCGACGGTACCGCTCCAGGATCTTCCGACGTGAAACTGACTGATCTCATCCAGCAGGCCCAGACGAACATCAATAATCTGGCCACGCAGATCCAGGAGCAACTGAATATCCCGGATCAGGATACCATCGTGAAAACAGTCAAGGAACAGAGCTCGAACTTTGTTACGACCATGCAGGAATTCATGAAGAACATGACTGAAGAGGTAAGTCGATTGAAGAGATCGAAGTAAAAGATTAAAACGACACGTAAATCGGGTTAATTTTTATCAGGCCAAGAAGAAAAGCCCGGAATTGGAAGGAGTGTGGAACGACGTGAAAGCGAAAATTACCGAGGGCATCGATAGTCTGAGTACTACTCTTAACGCCGAAACGCAGGTAGCGGAGTTGAAAAATAAATTCCAACAAGGAGTTGAAACAGTGTTGACGGAATCCAACAATGCCGCAAAGAACCTGAGCCAGCACTCCGGAAAGATTCAAGAGGATCTTGCTAAGATCACGAAACAGGCAGTCGATATTGCCGTGGAGGCGACGCAAAATCTAAATAAACAGCTTCAACAAGCCGCTGCTACTCCGAAAAGTTAAACAACTGATAGCCCCAATGATGTCACAGCGAGATTGTATTAATTATCCTATGTAAAGAAAACAGAAAGAGAAAAACGCTAAGATCGTGCTGTCGTTTTTGAAAAGTATTTTTCCCTTCAATTTTCCAAGTTTTCGCAGTAATGTCAACATTTTTATTATAAACATGTAATAAGTTAAATATACAAATTAATGCAAATCTTTATTGATCCTTTAATTTCCTATTTCGTTTGTCATTACCTTGGCAACATTGTTTAATGAAATAATTGTGAAATAACGTTGGGTCTTGCAAAGTAACTTACTTAATCGTTTTGGATACTCTGTTTCTTAATCCTAAATATTATGGCAATCTTGAAATGGAGTCAGCGAAAACTGTTTAATAAAACAGTCCAGATAGAGATAAAAGAATATTGATCGAATTCAGCTTATTAAATGATCGTGCGAACAGCTCGTGTGAGAGCATATTCTGGTGACGCAATAATCATAATTTTTCGAATAAGGATCATTTCTTCCAAAAAATGAAAACGTTATTACCGTTAATTCTGTTCGCTGTATCTATGGTAAGTAGTTATTAAGTATATATCAATACAGAGGAGAGTAATCTCTCCTTGGTGATGATACCACTGACTGACGCTTGATGTATTTTATATTTACTGGACTGTTTGCCAGACGATAACGTTAGGAGCAGAGAAGACGTTCGTTAGAGAAAAAAATATCTTGAAGGAACTTTCAAATGCTATGTCGAGCCGCACAAATGGCCGCACTGACAGAGACAAGAAAATTAACAAAGGATTTGAATGGGTAATTCAAGGCGTGAACATCTTGGGTCAAGTGGACGATTTCATTAGCGATAGAACAAAGAACATTATTCGAAAATTGCACGTAGCTTATAACGAGAATGACAGAGACGGGAATATATATCCGCCTGGTCGAAGTTTAAATAGAAACTATTAGATATGTAAATAATATGTGTAATACGTTAAATTCTAGACTGTTTGATATTGAAATGTACATATGTATAAGCGATATTTGGTAAATATACAGTTTGGCTTACCGAACACGAGATCTTGAATTCCTGATGAAAAAGATTTCCTTGAATATTGAATGCGATCGGCTTTCCCGGTAGTTCGTAATGCACAAAAACTAATTTAAAGATGCATTTCCATTAGAAAAGAAAGTTAAATATGTATATGGATGGATTGCGATCGTGTTTCTTGAAGAAGGGAATTGTGGATGATCTTTGTTAGAGCCTATGTCGATCTCTCGCCAGGTGTCGACTGCATCCGACGACAGTCACCGGGATCAGCCTGATCAGGCGACTTGTGCTAAGTTTTATCGTTTACCACATGTTGATTAATTAAATAGAACTATAATCATCGTGGCCAAAATCATTATTTCGGACTGGTATCCGTTCGTTTCCTACTCCGTCGACATAAAATTCCGTAAAGGTGGTTCCCCTTGTAAAGAGAACAGAGTTACGTCACGCAGGCCAGGAGGAAAGATATCGTGTGTCGAGCAGACTGTGGTCCCCCGTACGTCTCCTCGTATACAAAAGTGTTCCTGCTTTTCTTTGCTTGCACTTTGGTATCTGTCAAAACTCGAAAGTCACGCACGCGCTAGGCTTTCGCGAACGTGTGTGTTTATAGATAACCGTAGCATTGGCTTATAACCTACAAGCGATCGTGATTCGAAAACCGATCGTGAATGTTGATAGTTGTTAGCCAGTACGGACGGCTGTCAATCGTTTCGGGCTCGGAGATAGATTCGAAGTTGGTCTCTTCGATACTTGACGAGGAGTTCGCGAGACGCGAGAAATCTTCGATACCTCCCTGCGTCGGGACATTTGAGCGAGAATATTTTTTTGACGTTGAGTAGTCACCGGGAAACTAGTCAAAATTCCGGTCCCCACTAGGAAACGAGAAGGCCCGCAACAAACAAGCGGCAGAAACCCGTCAACCACTGGCGAAGAAGCCTCGTCGAGTGGCAAAATGAATAGCAAAAGAAAGAACCGTTCGAATACTAACAGGTACTCCTCGATTTCGAATCGAATAAATTCTAATCGCTCCTTTAGAACGCTCTAACATTTGAAAACGATACTTGTCACGTTATTTTCTGAATACGATGTTTGATTGTTAGATCACCACGCGCCCGTGGCCCACAAGAAAGAGGAGTTGCCGCAGAAGGTGTTTACAACAATGCCCACTTCATGCATGCAATAACCAGTCATGTTGGCAATGTTGTACAGGTATCGAAGAAGTTATAAAACTTTTAGAGAAATTAGTGTTGACTCGTGAACTTATTTATTGACGTTAATATGCTCACAGATACAGACACTGAACGGTTCGATATATGAAGGGATTTTTCGCACCTTCTCAAGTCAGTTCGATGTTGTCTTAGAAATGGCACATCGCGTAGAAGGCACAGGGAAAATAAGTGTCGAGAGTGTAGTAGAAAAGTTAATTTTCAAGCCACAGGATATAATTACTATGTCTGCCAAGGATGTCGATTTAGATTATGCTATACGTGACACATTCAGAACAGACAGTGCTATTAGTAAATATAATGGTTTAATCGGAGAAAAAGAATTAGAACCATGGGACGCTCCCCCTGCAACTATGAACGGAGACGATTTAGAATTAGATGGTACAACCGTAAGTAATTGTTAGAATAAAGAGAAATAGAATTAAATTTATCCGGTTCTATGTATGTATGAAAACAATTTCAGAATGGTTGGGATGCCAATGACATGTTCAGAAAAAATGAACAAAAGTACGGTGTCCAGACAACGTATGAGCCAACTTTAGCTGCCTATACTTTGCCACTTCAGAGAAAAGATACTAAAGATTATAAGGAGCAAGAGCAAAAGGCTGCAGAAATAGCAAATGAAATAGAATCACAACCAAATCACAAGGCTAGACTGGAACTTGAAAATGGAGATGAAGAGGAAAGATTTGCAGCCGTGGTACTGTTTTTTATCTCAAGAGAAAGTATGCGATATACCGTCTTTTACTAATTATACACAATTTCAGGTAAGACCCACTGAAGGTAAATATATTCCGCCACCACTGAAGAAAAAAAATGGAAATAACTCGAAGATGATGAGATCTAGTGAACCTCCACCTTCACCAGGACCTACAACCACTAATAAGAACGTTTTTAATCAACAACCTCCGTCCAGTGTAAATGTCAACATTCCCCCGTCTTCAAATCTTCCTATTGGAATGCAAAGCGCTCATCCTTCGGTGCAACATCCGGTATCGTTAAATATGGGACTACCGCCTAGTGGAGTGGTAGTCACGTATAACAATCCGCCACCTCCGTTCGTACCTCCACCAGCTACGCAGCCACCACCACCAGGTATATAGACAATCATGTGCTTGTTGTTGACTAATATTTCATGTTACATTTAAAATTAATTTTTATTGTTACAGTACCTGTTATGCAACAATCACAGCCACAATCCCAGGCGACTCCTTCTGTACCACAAGTCAATTTCCCACCTCAGCAACAGCAAGCGACATCGTCTAAAATAAATTCAGAGAAACGTGAACGTCCTGGTAGACAGCAGGTATATCAAGCTGATAAAGCACCACCGGCACCATTCCCACAACCGAACATTACTAATTCCCATCAGCAACAGACGTCGCACCAACAGCACGGCCAGTTACAACAACAGAATTCGGTAGATGGCCAACGATGTGAAATCGTTCCGCATAAGTCAGATCACAGAAAGGTATTGTTCCATCCGTAAATTGGCTAAACATTTTGTTTATGAAATTATTAAATATGTAATATGTATTATTCAAGATTCCAACGCCACGGTCTAGAGAAGACCAGCATACGGAGTTGAGGCAGTTTGCTACAGATTTTAAATTAGCTGAAACGCCAACCCAAGATGCGCCACCCATTAGCAGAAAGCAGCAGCAGCACCACCATCAACAGGATTCTCATTCCACACCTCAGATCACTCAACCGCATCATCAATCGGTCCATCAGCATATAACACCACAACAGACGCAACAACCACCACAGCAACAGCACACAAATACTCCACAGCAACAGTCGCAACAGCAACAGCAACAGCAGCAGCAGCAGCAACAACAACAACAACAGCAGCAACCTCAACATCAAAATCAGTCTATCCCAGAAGAAACCGTGGTCACTAACAAACCACCACCCGGTCCGTTACCTGTGCGATCCACGAGTCCTCCTCAAACACCGCAGCAGCAGCAGCAGCAACAACAACAACAACAACAGCAGCAGCAACAACAACAACAACAACAACAACAACAGGCTCCTACGAATACGCCGGCCGTATCTCAAACTCCACAAGAACCTGTCATCGATAAGATCGCAACAGCTTTCAAGAAATCGACATTAAATCCAAACGCTAAAGAATTCAATCCAAATACTAAACCTTTCACACCGGTAAGCCATTCGTTACTTAATAAATAGTCATAGTCAGCAGCTAACTAAATAATATTGACATCTGTCTTTAGCGATCTCCGAGTACGCCTACTCCAAGTAGGCCACACACTCCACAGACCCCTCAATATACCGGAGCGACCATGCCGGCAACTGTAGTCATGCCAGCGTACGTAATGACCAGCCAACCACCAACTGCGTTCAGTCAGCCACCGGCTCAACCTATGACAAGGTTCCGGAAGGGTCAGTATCTAGGTATCCACATCTTGTTTCCAATTATCTATTTAAGAAATTAGCACGCTTCAAATTCTCTTGGTTACCGTTGATTGTATGTTCTCCTTATTTCAGTACCGGTAATGCATGCGCAGCATCGTGCGCAAGATATTGCGTCTCAGATGCAGGTAGTAGCGGCAACTGGACAGCCTTTAATGGCACCGGCTCCTCTGCATCCACCGTTCCAGATGCCTTACCCCGGTCAGCCAGCATATCAACAGATGGTACGCATGGTTCAGGCACCACCGCCACATATGGGTACACCTTATCATCACCACGACTCGCCAGGACCACAAGCTCCTGGCATTCAATACATGGGTCCACACACACATCCACACCCTCACGTTGCTCAACAACCACCAAGTCAGACCCCCTCTCCAGCTAATCCTAATCCACCACATACACCAGGCACTTACAACCCACCCGGTACACCTCAGCCTTCGTACCCTCCACCACCTCCGCAAGGCCATGCTCCGAGTTACCCCATTATGTGTCCTATAATCCCTCCTCATATACCGATACCGCCGCAGCACATGCAATATCTACCGCCGCAACCACCTCCAGGAGCGCAGCAAACTATACCAGTGATTTTGCCGCACAATCAGTAGCTGCAATCAGAAATGGATGAAGAAAGAAAGAGCTACTAGTATTCTGCAGAGGTAGAATAATGTCTAAATTTAAGTTACTTTCATGATGGCATTAGGCACTTGAAAAAGACTTTCATTTATCGCTTGCTTAGATTACCCTTATATTGGCTCGTCCGATGTGAATTAAAACCCGATTTTAAGTTCCATGATTTTCTCCTTAACGCTTAAGTATTCTACAGTTGATTTTTTCTCTATAATGACATCAGTGATGTAAAGGAGATAATATTCTTTTGTATTTAACGTAAACAGACATTCTTACAAATCGTAAAATCGTAATAATGTAAAGTGAAGTGCTGATCATCTTGAAAGTGACTCTTTCAGGTGGGTTAGTTATTTGCACAAGACCCACAACGACATTTAGTCCCTCGAATTATATTTAAATTTCAGTTAAACCAGGCAGATTTCATTACGCAACATACCACCTTATACTGTTATTAACTTAAACGTTACAACAAAAAGGAAATACGATTAAGATTGATTTATAGTAATGTACGAGATATTATATAAAACGAAAAATTTCCAAACATATTTTCACATTGCGTTGAGACAGGTGGTGCTTATACGATCCATTAGGAAGCGAAAGAAACGAGGGACTGCAATTATAAAATTCTGCAAGATATATTAAAATTGAAGAAATTTCTCTTTTAATTATCGTAGTTCGCACTACATACTTTATAATAAACATTAAGCCAAAATTCAACCTGCGAGGTTGTCAACAGCGAGGTATCCGATAAAGTGTGATAGTGTCGTGTTTGCAAAGATCCGAGTACTCGATTAACGGAGTAGTCGTGAACATCACGCGAGTAAAGAAGCTTTTTTTATGCCAATTGTCGGGACGATGTAAAGAATAGGAAGAATTAAGTATTTTTCTGCTCGCGCTTTCATATTTGATACTTCGCCGCAGTGGACAGAAAGCACAGATACAGATCGATACAATTGCTCTAAATTACGTTCAATTATAAAAACCTGAATGACCCGATGTAGCGAAATAATAATTGAGAGACCAAGCTCTAAATTTCTCAGTCTGTTGATGATGGTTTTGTGTTGTGAGATGTTGGTACGTAAGATTCAAACAGAACGACTCGATTTAGCAAAAGAAAAAATGTTTAAGACGAACGAAGTCTGACAAACGAGACACCGTTTGAAACGGCCCAATAATTTTGTCAGGAGAGGAAAAGCATCTGTGTATATAAAGAGGTACAGACATATTAGTTTCTGTTTAATAAGTTCAAATATGCAATTTCGATGTTACGCGATAATATGTTTAAAAATAGGTAGCAGAAGAAATAGAAGTTCAAAAGTAATGCAATAGGAAATATCACAGTACTTGTACGTATTTAATTTTATCATCTGTCCTCGTTTAAATACATAGATACTACGTTATCTATGTAGCATGTCCTTATAAACTAGTTTCGATTTTCTCTTGTAGATATAACTGCTGCAAATTATAAACAAAAAAGAACAATAACAAATATCAGATATTAAAGTACATAATAAGTAGTAATGTTTTATTGTCCGATATAGATCGTAAAGAATTCATTCATTATTTAAATGTTTAAAACTGTTGTGAAAATTAAATCGATTACGTACCTCTTATGTATAAATGAACAATGTGGGATGCTGTGGTATTGAAAAAGACAAGTTGAATTACGGCCTTAGACCTAGTCGTGTATATAAGAGAAATAAGAGGGAGAGAGAGAGAGAGATTGAGAGAGAGAGAGGAGGCAAGGACGATCCTTATCCAAGAGATAGTTGAATGTGTGGCATCGTTAGACACAAATTTTATATCGAAGAGATTTAAAAGAAAAAAACATCAAAATAAAGTCAATGCGTTAAAAGCCCATTTCTATACGATGTGTTATTCGTCCTTGGTGTCTTTGGGGACCCGTAGATATTTGACTCGATAGCTTTTAAATTATACGCATTCTTACTATAATTTTAAAAAATATCCTAAAATACAACGAAGATGTTCCGATGATCCAGCCGGTTAAAAATCATCTCTGGCATTTTTATATGACTAATAGCGAATTAACCGTAACCTCAAACGTACACAAATACATGTGACTAATGTGAATAAGTGAAATTTTGTTATGAATTATACAATGAAGACTCAAAATTGGAACGAATTAGAGGTGTCTCTGAGTAACCCCGTGTTAAAAACTATCGAGGAATTAAAATTTCTGTACATGACACCTGTCCAGGTAAAATTGTCTATTTAATAATGATCAAAGGATTTAAATTTGAAAGAATATACGTGGTTGATGTTGTAACTTTTATGTAGGCAGCCTCTATTCCCTTGTTATTAAAGGGAAAAGATGTTGCAGCAGAAGCAGTAACAGGAAGTGGGAAGACGATTGCCTTCTTGATCCCAGTACTAGAAATACTGCAGGTACATCAAACATTTGGTATATTAATTTATTTTACAAAGCATAACTTGTATTTGTAACAGAAGAGAAAAGAGAAATGGAAGGCTACAGAAACTGGGGCAATAATAATTAGCCCTACCAGAGAATTAGCTGTACAAATAAGTGAAGTCTTACAACAATTTCTGGCGAACATACCAGGCTTGAAGCAAGCATTAATTGTTGGTGGCACGACAGTTACAGAGGATGCAGATAGGCTTAAAACAGGTGCAAACATTATTGTAGCAACACCTGGTAGATTAGAAGATTTATTATCCAATTGTAAAGCTATAAACTTGGCTGCCTATGTAAAATCTTTGGTAACTACTTTTGGAGCATCAAACGTACACGTGTAAAATATACAGTTGATCAACTTCAATTACTTGTAGGAAATATTGATCTTGGACGAAGCTGATAGACTATTAGATTTAGGCTTCTCTGCGACACTGGACACGATACTGAGTTACTTACCACGTCTGAGGAGAACTGGTTTATTCTCAGCGACGCAAACGAAGGAATTGCAGCAGCTGATAAGAGCTGGGCTCAGAAATCCAGCTCTGATAACTGTTAAAGAGAAACCAAATATTTCCACGCCGTCAAATTTAAAGAATAATTACGTTATCGTAAATGCTGAACACAAGTTGTCAGTAATGATAGATTTCATTGAAAACGAAGGAATTGGTTCAAAGTACATGATATTTTTATCCACATGCGCGTGTGTCGATTATTTCAGTCACGTTATACAAACGTAAGTTACCTCATATTACAATGAAACGTTTATCAATGTATTCGCTTATAATCTCCTTTTAGTATGTTACCGTCTCTTCGAGTCTTTGCGATTCATGGTAAAATGAAGAACAAGCGGTACAAAGTGTTCAAGGAATTTCGGGAGGCTGAAAGTGGTATTTTAATTTGCACGGATGTAATGGCACGTGGTATCGATATTTCAGAAGTAGATTGGGTATTACAGTACGATCCACCTTGTTCTGCTAGCAGTTTCGTTCATAGGTAAGAAAATCCATTTTTAAGTCTTGCTCTTAATTTTTTTGTACGTCATTTCTTTTATTCTTCAGATGCGGTAGAACAGCCAGGATTGGGAACGAAGGTAACGCATTATTATTTCTGTTAGAGACAGAAGACACGTACGTAGACTTTATTAAAAGAAATCAAAAAGTAGAGTTACAAAAAATAATTTTGGAACCATCGGAAATTTCCAATGAGAAATGTTTGAAGTGCATGAGAGACTTGCAAAAGCAGGACCGATCTCTTTTTGACAAAGCTAATAGAGCGTTCGTATCGTATGTCCAAGCGTATAATAAACACGAATGTAACTTAATATTGAGACTGAAAGATATAGATTTGGGAAAACTTGCAATGGGTTTCGGGTTATTGCGAATGCCTCGCATGCCTGAACTCAAAGGAAAAGACTTGTCGTCCTTCGAGGAAGAAAACATTGACATCAATACAATTGAATATTCAAATAAACAGAAAGAGAAAAGTCGTTTAGAAAAGTTAAAAGTCTTTCGAGACAGCGGCGTATGGCCTAAGCAGCAGAAGCATAAACGTAAGCAGACTGAGTCGTGGTCCGAGGCTAAGAAGAAGAAATTAGATAAACTAGAAAATCGTAAAAAACGTAAGGAGAAGAAACTAAAGCAACAAGTGTCAACAAGTGTAATGAAGAAACAGAAAAGGAAGATAAACGAAGAGGATATCGAAGATCTAGCAAGAGACATAGCGTTAATCAAGAAATTAAAACAAAAGAAGGTACTATTAGTAAATGTACAACACTTTTATTTATGGTATAAACTTGCGTATTCTACGTTTACAGATTTCACAAGAAGCGTTTGATGTCGCTTTTGGAATCGATTGAAAAGATCAATTTTAGGATAACACGCAATAATTCATTATTCAATTTCTTAAGTGCGTTTGTATATATAAAATACTATCATCTAATAAAAAATGAAGGTAAAAATATGTTTCTCTCAACATGAATATCGGATAGATAAAGGAACACAATCTTTAAGATATCTCATATTTACTCAATTCACTGATAACAGTGAGTGTACAGTAGTATTGAAAATAACGTTATTAAAAAAGGAACCGTTCCTTGTAAAATTAAATAATTTTAAGAAACTTGAAATAAAGTGTATATTGAAATATATTTTATACATGAAACCATAGAGTAATGTACATGTATAAAAAAGAATTGAAATAATCCCCTGGTAAAAATGATGATTGAATCCGCTGAGTACGCTCTGAACAGTGTGAACACACACGTTATATAGTATGTGTACACATGTGTGTGATCATTTTGAAGAGAAAGGTTCCCGCATCTGAGAGTGGGCCCCACTTAACGCGAACTATAGTTCATAGAAGGGGAAAGAAAACATGAGAGCATGAGACTGGCTTAGGTGAGCCATAGTGGTGAGTCACACGTTTGCTGTGATGTCAACCAGCTACGAAGTTCACTTTTCTTAATCATTTCTCACTTGCATGTGAAAGATTCTTATAATAAGTAATAAAATCAAAAGGATTCAATGAACGATACGGATATAAGCGACCGGCCGAAATGGTTGTTGGAACTGGAAAATCGAAAAAGGAAGGTAAACATTGCGAGGATTATTTTAAACTGCTGTTATGATCTTCCTCTTTGTACATCGTCATTATTTCATTCAGCCCCGGTTGGCACACGAAGCTGGAGCTGGAGCACCTTGCGTCGTTTGTAAAGCAACGTGTCCAGGCCTGGATTTACATTTTTGGAGAAAGATTTGTAAGAATTGTAAGTGCAGTAAGGATGATCATGACGTTGATGATGAAGATTTTCCACAATTCGAGTTACTGTTCGGACCTTCGAAGAAGTTCAAGATGAAACCCACTTGTACGTATCATTAATATTAAGTTGTAATAAATTAATATATATATACATATTATTATATTATTATATTCGATATATTTTTTAGTGTTGCACATAAATGGTGGGAAAGGACGTGCAGAGGAAGCATTCGAATGGGTTCCACCAGGTACAACGAAGGAACTTGCTGCAGATTATATGAAAGCATTATCTGTAGAGAAGATTCCCATTAAAGGATCAGCTGGTGCAATCCTGAGAAGGCAATTGTTGCAGAAACAGTTGCCCCTTCATGACATAGATTATAAGACTTGTGATAAGTTAAGTGATCAGGAAAAGAAGGAATTTGAAAACTACTTGGAGAATATAAAGAAATACGTGGGACAGGGAACGGTCACGAAGGTAAGCTATTACAGTTGGAATATTCGACCGTATTCGAATATTAATTTAACTGTAACGTTTCTCATCAGATATTGAGTGCTCGACCTTACAATCCATCGTTACTCACGCCTGTGAATGCAGCTGATATGCAACAACATTGTTCAGCAAATAAACCTAATGTACCACCAAGTTTTATTCAATTACGTACACCGAGTAGTTTCGTACCGAAGAATTCGTACAAGAAAGACGTTTATCCAAATGCACAGGAATATTCTGTTCCCTTAGAAATGTCGAGTAGCATACCAATTTTTGAAAAGTACGATAAAGTTAGTAATAGCAGTGAGATTGCAAAATCGGAACCAATTAAAAACAGTTTTCTCAATAAGGGGTCGAACGATTCTAAAACAATTGGTAATACTCAAACGGATGTGGCACCGAATCCATCCGAGTGTTACAGAGACGCATATAAAGATACTCTAAAAAATCCATCTACTGGCCTATCGCAAACGATTGACAGTAATCCTGACGACGCTGCGGCAGCTATGTTAGCAGACACATCGCCCAGGACAATTCAGTCAAGTGACATAATTGGAAGTACACTGGATGAAAAGGGTTTGAGGTTCATACGCGAGAAGCTAACGAATAAATATAGCATGCAAGAAAATCAAACGCAGCAGCCGCGCGATACTCCGAACTTCGCAAGAAATTTAAATTCAAATGGCTCATATAAAAATGACAGTTTGGAATCACAGGGTATGAATCTCTCTGGGGTTTTAATTCCACCGCAACAAAAATGTTCAACCTCCGAACCGATAGCCGCGGAAATGAAAGTACAAAGACCCAATTCAGATGTAACTCAGTCTCATCCTTTGGATTCTAGACATACTCTTCACACAGAGATATTAAGAGGGAATACGGGTAACCCCCAGCCTGCGCCAACTTTATCAGCGCAATCACAATTACAACCGGTCAGCAATAATCCTCAAGCAATTGTAAACAGTGTTACGACACCTGCCACCGTAATTTATTCCGAGAAGCTACAAAATCAAATATTTCCTCATGAGATAGTTGCGACAAAACAATTGGGTCAATTTTCCCCGAATACAGAAAACCTTGAAACTGCTGTAAGAGAACTCACGATAGATAATAAGTCGCAAAACTGCCACAAGTGCGAAGAAGAGATCAGAGTCGGCGATGTTGCTATTATCACAGAGAAAGCTAAGAACGCAGCATGGCACCCCGGATGCTTCGTGTGCAGCATGTGTAACGAACTACTGGTGGACTTGGTTTATTTTTATTACAAGAACAAATTATATTGTGGTCGAGATTTAGCCACACTTTTGGGCATACCTAGATGTTTCGCTTGCGACGAGGTACGTACGGCAAAACGTTTCCAAAGTACTCGATTTCTCTTTAATAACTGTACATCTTTCAGCTTATCTTTGTACGTGAGTATACTGTCGCAGAAGGTCATAATTATCACGTGAACCACTTTTGCTGTTGGGACTGCGACATTCCATTAGCTGGAAAACAATACATTACAGAGAACGATCGACCATTATGTCTTTTGTGTTACCAAAAATCGTATGCAAAAACTTGTAACATGTGCGAGAAGGTAATTGCCGCGGACCAACAAGGCGTCGCGGTGAAAGATCTAAATTTCCACGCGACAGGCGCCTGTTTCTGCTGTTACATTTGTAGTAAAAACTTGTTAAACGGGAAATTCGCAGTTAAAGAGAAACGAATATTTTGCAGCAAGGATTGCATCTCAAAATTTTCATCTTAAGCAGGTAACAGAGATTAGAAAATACTTTGTTACTTTGTTTATAAAATCTGATGTGCATTATGTACAACTTGAATTGTTCATCTATAAATACATTGAACAAGGAAACATGTTACACGCTCAAGTGTATAAAAATATATTTTCACGATATCTTCCTTGAACAAATATTCATTACATATTCGTGATAGTTTAGTAATTGTGATACTAATTAAAAGGATGATGTGCACAAGCAATTTTTGTTTTTCACTTGGAACTTTATCTGGATATAAAATATAACATAAAGTTTCATAATAACGTACGCAAACGAGTTAACTTCAATCCATGCAAAGAAACATAAAACAAATTAGACTAACATTATTAGCAAACTTATTATAGTACAATTCTGTTTTTATAGTGTAACATCTTACTTTTTTTTTAGTTTCAGTCAATTATTTTTGCCTAATTCGTACAAGAGTCAAACATAATTATGTACAAGTTCATTATATAAAATAGATGAAATATACAGGCCGTTCTAGTTTTAAACTACAAATCTTCATCAACATGTTCTACAAAACGAAATAAGAAAAACGATGTTCTCTCACTTGGACCGATAGAGTATGTTGACAAAGTTTCGCATTCTAAACCTAGACATCTTGTATACTTGTATCTTACGATCAGACTACGATAAGTAATGTCAATATGTTTTACAAAGTATTTGTTGTTTACGAGACTTTAGTCCGAATCGCTGTCGATAACGTTAAAAACTCGTTTGAATGTATTACGTACTTCGCGTTTTACAGGAGTTTCTGATGTCTTTAATTCCTTTAGATTAGAATCCTTGTTCCTCTGAGCACGTGTAACACGTCCTGAAATGGATTATCGTCCATAAAACGAGATATCTATCGTGATATTTCCATAAAATTGGAAACTGTTAATAAAAGGACAAACCTTCCGAGATAATATTGCCCGTATTTAAATCTGCAATATCCTTAAGCCTTTCATTTCTCTCTTTAGCTTTCTTACACTTTTCTACGGTCGGCCTGCCGGTGACTCCATTCTTTTCCAACAACTCCCTGAGACACTTTACCTTCGCATTATTTGTTTTACAGCCAGCCCAAAGATCATTATAAGATTTCACGCGAATTCCAGCCATTCTTATATACTTTTTTAGTGACTGTATTCTCTTATCATCGTCTGGTCTCTGGTGAAAAAGTAGAATGATACAATTAAAAGAAGTTGTTATTTAGTACGAGTATATAGCTGAACTTACTCTACTCCTCTTCTTCCCATCTTCAGTTGTATCGTCACTTTCACTCTCGTCTTCAGATTTGCTCTTCAGCGAATCATCATCAGATGAATTATCTGCCGTTTTAGTATCCTCCATTTTTATGTCTTCCACCTTTACATCTTCCGTTATGTTGGAGTTCTCGTCCTCTGCGTCTTCTTTATCAGTTGACTTTTTAGTTCCCTTTTTTGCTCTACCACGGCCCCTTTTAGATTCCGTGGGTGATTTCTGTGAAGATTTTTTATTCGCCACCGTTTTTTTAAGTCTCTTTTTAGTTTTCGGGCTGTAATCTTCGTCTGAAACATCATCATTATTTTCGTCAGAATCAGAATTCTTTGTTTTGCTGAACGATGTTCTACTCTTCTTTCTTCCTTTCTTTGCACTCTGCTTAGGCTTCGCTTCGGCTGCATCTTGCGATTCGTCTGCGTCCGATCTGGCCTCAGAAGAACTGACATCAAGTTCTGATTCATTGGGCTCAGCTTTGACAATAATTGTTTTCGGCTTAGGCTTTTCATCTTTCTCGTTTTCATCTTCGGAAGAACTTTCTTTATCACTGGCGCACTCCACTGAAAGCTCCAAACCATCTACCACTTCAGCGTCATTATTCTTGGACTTGCTCTGTTTCTTTTCTGGTTTAATATCATCTTCCTTTTCCTCCTCCTTCTCCTCCACTCTTGCTGCATCTTCCGATTTCACAGACTCCACACTTTCCTTTTGAATAAAAGTAGAAACATATTAGAACAGCAACAATATTAATTGCTTTTAATTAAAATGTAAATACAATACCTCTCTTGTATCAATTTTCTCAACTGTAGTATCATTGTTAACAGATTCTTCATTGTCTTTACCATCAGATGTTTGGGACACTTTTAAAGTATCATCTTCTGATATTGTTTTACTTGCGTTTTCTTTAACAAAAGTACCGATGTCTTTTACAGTTTCCTTTGCATCTTTACTAATACCGTTCACTTCCACACTTTCAATATCAGGCTTCTCAGACACTGATTCATCTGTACATAACTTTTTAGAAGGCAATTCAGTTTGTTCATCCTCTGAAGCATCTTCTCTTAACCTTTTCTGAGGAGGTTCTTTATTATCTACAGAATTATTCGAAATGCTCACAGGTGGTATTTTGTTTTCTGTTTCTTGATCACTCATGTTTTTCTGTAATTTAAAAATGTCATGGATGAATCAGACAAAACTGAGAATCATATAATAATAACAGTGAAATCGTTCCAGCAAACAGATGTGTTTAGTGGAACAATAAAAGTTTCACGTGACAATTAAAGTCGATTTATCATGTCAAGTTTCATATCAATAGTGATTCTTACACCTCAGATACTTTCGATTTACTATTTGTTTTAGTTTAATGTTATCAGACGTCTCATAACGTTGTAGTAATCGTATGTACGCAATGAAAAGAATTGGTAACCGTTATATTACACTTTGTGAAAAAGAACGAGCTTTTAGTTAACAAGTTTAGATAATAATTTGATCAACTGCGACTGATTATTATAAACCAACAACAACAAGTACCTTCCACAATTATTTAACGTTAAATATGTTGCGATACGTTATCTAAATAGCGTAACCAGAAAAGTAACCGAGAATAAATGTAATATCAATTAACTTACACAGATAAAACCACCGATAAATGTTCAACTAATTATTTTAGAAGCGATAATCGTAACGTTTGCGCGGCAAAATCTACGCGGTAACTACGTAGTCGCTATTGATTGGTTAAATTGTGTATAGTGTAGTAAAATTAAACAGGAGCAGTCATGGAGCAGTAGTGTTGTAAGATTTTAGGAATTTCGATCATAGCGCCGTACGTTGAAGACGAGTGAAATTCAGGTTTCAGTTACAAAATTTGTGAAATTCCTCAATTACCGCTAAATAATTGGGGCTCGAAGGGAATTGTATAGAAATCGGAGAAAGATCAATGTTCATCTCCCTTTATTAAATGAAGCTCCAAAAGCTTCACTTCATAAATATAAATAGAATATTATATACATTTAATGAAAGCCTGATACTGGGAGTTTCTCGAAGTATTCTTTCAAGATCGATGGAAACATTGCTAAAACTTTAAAACGTGTTCCCATTTTATCCTCATCCATTATCATATGATATCCAGATTCTAAATGCTTCCTTTCCTTCTTTGTAGCATTTTGGAGCAGCATCGATAGTCTTACATTTATTCCAAGATTTCTTAAAAACCTTGCTTGCGTCACTGGCCCAAAGATTAGTACTCTCTCATCCTTTTTTGCGATTTTACTAATAGCTGCGAAATCAACGTCTGCCGTCAAATCTGCTTTTCCTGGATTTAATAATGGGTCATGCACTGTATGTTGTAAAAAGCCACGAAAAGTGTCAGTTTTGTCACCGTTATGACCATAATCACAAATGAAGGCAAATCCACCGAATTCCGATAAAAGATCAGCTATATAGTCCACTATTACCAGACTCTCTGGACTGATTTCAACATGCTCTCTTTTTTCATCTTCCTGGAAATTCCAGAATTCTTACAACTTCCATTACTTTCAACTGTGAACTATGGCCGGTATTCAGGAACAGGGAACAGGGATTTAAGCAAATGCTTAAGACGATCTTAAGAATAAGCAATGACTCTGAATACCGGCATATAATAAATAAGGCCTTACTGATATGTAATAGGTAGCAGGAGTTGGTCCATTTGATAGGGCGTAGCAAAGTTTCTCTTCTTTACTTTCCTGAATTATATCAACCAGAACTTCGCACCATCCTTTGTCAGTTTTCTAAATTCACAATTATCTTTTTGCACAACGTTTATAAAATTTTTTTGAACGACAGTAATAGTTGATATACCTGAAATTTATGAATCGGTAGTGCATCAAAAAATTCATGGGCTAAGATAATACTAAATGCCTTAGGCACATCCTTGATAGAGTAGTACCAATATAATTTAACTCCATCTTCTGTGACACCCTCTCTGTAGTAAGCATTAGCTCCATTTAGTTTCGTTACATCATGCTCTTTAATTGTTTTGCATAACTTTTTTGCTTGAATTCCAGATAGAGCAGGACTAATTTCCACCAAATGTACTGATATATTATTTAGCAATTTTAATTGCTTAAACACCTATTCAAGGTAGAGCATTATACATACAGAATAATATTAATACACCTAGTATTATAAACATACCCTTAGTATGTCATTGATCAGAGTTCCTCTGCCTGGACCTAGTTCAACAAGTTGAAAAGGATCCTTTGAAATCTTTTGCCATTCATACTTTATCCAAACTGCTATCATCTAATAGAAATATTCAGAATATATATCAAAGATGAAATACATTCCGAAGGAAATATTTGATGATTAATTTTGAAGACTTACATACTTCTCCAAATATTTGTGAGATCTCTGGAGACGTTATAAAATCTCCCTGTTTCCCAAAAACATCTTTATGCATGTAATATCCTACAGTTGGATGAGTTAAAACTTCTTTCATATAATCAGAAACAGTAATAGGGCCACAAGCAAGAATCTTTGAGTACAAATGATCATAAAGACTGGGTATCTTCCTATCGTTAATGTTTGACGAATTGCACGAGGAATAAGAGAGATAATTTCTCAGACAGTTTGAAAACACTTTTGCTTTAAATACTTTATAATGTCCTCTATATTTGTCAAACATTCGAAGGGAAATCATGTTGAGAAAGAAAACTGTATTGCTTTAGAACTCCAATCCTTCTACGTACTATACACGTACTGTTACGAATGCTACGTACCTAACGTACCGTCCATGTGTTTTGATAAATCACCAACACATGGATGATTTTGCATACATACATAGAGGAAACGATCAATCACCTCTGTTTCGTTTTCGTTTTACCTGACCGGTGGTAACTGTAAATAAATTATAAAGATCTAACAATGAACGATATTACCAAAAATAAATGGGTACGAAGATGAAATTTGAAAAGTCCTTACCACCGTCGGTTGAAGGCAAGGTCCACGGTTATTTAAAGTTCGTTATAGACGAGGTTATTTGGTCAAACAGAAACTTTGGTGAGATTAAAGTTTTTGTATCTTGGTGGGGCGAAACTGATAAAAGCGAATTCAGGTAATAATACGGCGTTCATATGACACATCTTAAGTAAAATAATCTCACACGAGGAGAAGAATTTTAATATTGACAACATGTACTTACAGACCAGTAGATATTACAAAGAATGTCACAAGACCAGTACAAGAGGTAACTGAAACTTATGCGATTCGTACAAACATAAGTTTATTCGAGGAATATATCAAAAACTGTGAATGTTTAGAATTAACTATTGTCAGCGAAGAAACGAATACAGTTTTAGGAGTATCTCGGGTGACAGACTTGTTGGAGATCTTCAAGTTCAGACCATTCTTTAGATATGTACCGATAGTAACTGACTGTGGAGATAAGATAGGCGAAATACACATTAATGTAAAGTTAGAACTTGTTACAAAGTCTAGTAATATGCAATTGAAAACACAAAAATACGAAAGAAAGCAAGCAATTGGTAATACTTCTATTAATGCCTTTACTGATGAACACATTATGAAGACTAACAGATATACCGTTAATAGAAGAGAAAAACCTGAAGAGAATAAAACATACAAGTCTATTTTGAAGTTGAGAAAAACAGAATTCCAAGAGCCCGTTAATAAATTTAATAACGATGTGACGGATAAACTTGTCGCTCACGTTGTTGCACGTGCACAGAAACTCAGAGGAGCTATATTGAACGAAACGTACAACGACAATGGCTTCAGTAGTAGTGATCATTCGAACGATGAAGATATTGAATTGACATCGTCCGATGAAAGTAAATCGTTGTGTACATTGAGCTTGTCAGATCTGACATCTAATAGTTTGAAAGCTACCAAATGTGATAACAGGAACACAGCAAATAATATACCTTCTATAAAAATGCATTCCTTGGAAGATGATACACGTTTAGGGAGAAGATCACCTATAAATTCAGAAGGTTCGTTTATACTTCTTAAACGTGTAATTACCTGGTTTAACATTCGATACACATTTCAGATTCAGAGCTATTTAATTTTGTCAATCATATTAAAATCAATGTGGAGTCGTTTAGTTTAAGTCCTGCTGGGTACAGACGCGTAAAGTCTTCTTCGATGTCAAGTATGTATATTAATATTTAAGGAGAGAAACTACAAGGAGAGAACTGTATTATATTCTTTCGCAGATAACGACAATACCTTTTTATCTGCAACGTACTTTGTTCAGTACAACATGACGTTTGATTATATGAAAAAGAGTGAGCAAAAATGGATGAAGGAAAAAAAACCTGTAAGAATATCGTCTAAGAAGCAGGTCAATCAAGGTATATTTCGGTTACTTTAGAATGTACATTATTTTATTAAAGTCGACTATTCCCTTCGGTGATTGGGAATAAACCCATCCGCGGGAATAATGAACGACCTTACCCCCTTGTTGCATAATGTACTATTAAGATTAAAACTAATTTGAATCTCGTTACAGTGATTTATTTTAATCACCGTAGTACGTACAGCGTACCCAGGTTGAAACGTTGCACAGAACGGTCTATAAAATTCAAAGTATTCGTTCGTCATCTTAATAGAAAATCTTTAATCGAATTAGGCAACGCCACTATCTGTCTTGAGAATGTAATAAAAACTGAAAGCTGGAGATTAGAACAAGAACTAATTATTGTTAATAAAGGAATAAAAACAGGGAATCTAAATGTAATTATAGAATTAGGCGCTAGTCATTTTGATAAATACATCGGTAAGCATTCTTTGAGTCGACAAATTACACGTAGCACAAAGATTTGACTCGGCCATATTTCTTCAGACAATATGAAGCCTGCCAAGGAGAACATTCCTACTTTGGATACGCAACAGTTACTAAATGAAACTAGAAATAAAAGGACAAAAAGTCAGTCCAAGACGAGTAACGATGTATCATCGATTTCGACTGAAGTAGTAAACAGTTTAACAGGCGACAGGAATTTAGTTACGACATCAAGATTCATAACGGGAACTATAGATGACAACAATATAGATACGAAGAATTATGAAAATAGAATGGAAGATAAGGTATCGGAATTAGTTTACATTACAAATATATATTGATAATGAATAGAAATACAGACAACGTAACTGCACAGGTTTTGCTTCATGGTCTGATCTACGTGGCTGAAGGACGAGAATTACCAGAGTTAAATACGTATTTAATATGTAGAGCGTTTTGGAGAGAAGATACGACTAAAAGTCAAGTCTGTAATAATACGAAAAATCCATTTTATAAATTTCTACAGGTAAACGTTTAATTCTTAAATATTTCGATTATTATCTGAAATAAATCCATGTTATATTTCTGTATTTCAGTTAGTTCCTCTTATATACGATCTCGACTTGTTAGAACGTATTAAAGACAATTATATAATTATCGAAGTTTATTCGAAAAAGAACAACGTAGATAATCTACTAGGATTAACGAAACTATCTTTACATCAGTTATACGTTGCGTACAGAGATCCACGCGTACTTCCTCATCTGCTATTATCAAAGGTACACAGATTTTAAATTAAAATAACTTTTACTCATTGAAAATATATTTCGTTATTTTAGTATCCGGTAATAAGCGTGGATGGTTGGGTACCGATCGTAGATCCTGTGACTGGACGGTCTTGCGGTCAATTGCTCGTGCTCGTAGCTCTTGGCTCTGCTGAGCAAATCGCGTTATTAGAAATGTCAAGAGGTTTGCGAACTATTTGCACATCAATGCATTTAAACGAAATTCCAGATAGCGCAAACTATTCGCAATTAAATAAAGATGCATTGTCGCAAGATCGTCCTCAGACTTTTGTCATCAATGCTGTTGACAGAGAATTGTATTACTCGAATTCGAGAACTCAAGAATGCCAGACAGATATCACAACTGTTGGAGAGTACAAAATTAACGGAGCACTACAAGAGAAAGCTACCAGCTCCTCGACTTTGCACGATACGATTGATCATTTGGCGAAGATGATAAACATTAATAAAATCAACATTGATCAGGCCGCACAGACGGACATTTATTTCGAAGGAAACAAGCGAATGATTGAAGAAGAACATACATGTATGAATAGAGTACAGTTTAACAATAGCTCCGATGACAGTGATAATAACAGCGTAAGACATAATTATCACTTACCAACGGAAGCATATAGAAGCGTTGGCGTCGGTGCTGAATACAATGAAGAGATTGATCAGCCTAATACTGGTCACAGCAACGCAACATCCGAGTTACCAACTACGACGCGTACGGAAAGCGATTCAGAGAATGTTACCAGCGACCAAACAATGTTTAGAGCCATCGTGGAGATTGAATGCGCATTGCACTTGCCGAAAGTAGAAAAACTTAACGAAACTGTTGAACCGACCACATATGCATCGTTCCAGACCAATAAAAATGATTATACGAGACAGCCGAATTCTTACACGATTACTAACATTTATCCACATAGTTGCAATCCTAAATGGAATTGGAAATGCGAAACGGAATTATCAACAGATCTGCTTGTACATGATGAGAAAAGATTGATCGTCAAAATTTGGCGTATAATAGAGCCAGATACCAGTATGCAAACAAGTTCAGACAGAGATGTAGTTATAGGATTCTCTGCCATTGATCTTTCTGTTTTACTTAATGGATTCCCTCAAGTATCTGGGTGGTTTCATATAATGGACTTTACTGGAAAATGCAATGGCCAGATCAAGGTACGAATATTTTGTCTTCCAGAATATTTTGTATCCAGTAGAGTTCATATTTATATATCATCGATTATTTTAGGTATGTATTACTCCATTGGACAATCTATCATTGTTTGGAAAGCCTGGATCCATGTTAAATACAGTTCAACTACCGACAAGTTCCATGCCACAATTAAACTGGACTCCGTATGCTTATGAGATGCAGTGTAGCAATATAAGAAGAAATAATATGAATTGTACTCCGTCGATAACTACACAGGAAGAAGAGAAATCAGTACATAGCGAAAGCCAATCGAACATTGGTTTTGAAGATGTGTCCATGTCGTTCTTATCCTTGTCTCTGAAGTACGTTGAAATTAAGCCTTTACTTCGATATAGGATATTTGTATTACAGATATTTCTGTTTGTTACAGACAAAAACTGACGGAATTAGATGAAATAACAAAGCGTCTTGAATCCAGATTACGCGATGTCACAAGTACCGCTTTTGAGGATGACTTGGAAAATGAATTTGAACCGAACAGTGATATCGAGAACACTGATTATAAAGTTGTTACTCCGACGGATGTTCCCACAACAGATTGTAAAATTATTACGGAGTCTAAACAGAATGAAAGTGTATCAACTGAAAGTAATTTGCCGCACACTAATGTCAACTGCGATAAACCAGTTGGCCGCAAAGTACAACGGCCAAGTGAACATCCAATGCAGAACTTTAAAATGTTTGACAACAATATTACTGACTACCCAGAACGAGGAGCGAAAACTCACATAAATTACTTACTTGATAAACTGTCTTTAAATCTTCCCACAAAATCGCGGTCGTCTACTGTCAGGCCTATAAGAAGAACTTCACCCAGTTTACCGACATCATCTAATGGCAACATGCTAGACAGTGACAGATGTAATGAAGAATTGAAGATAGTGCCTACTCAAACGGATGATACGTACGAGCGAGTTGCGAAAACCTCGAAAGATCTACTTGTGAATTATACGAGTAGCAGAGAGATTGAAGATAAGAAATCATCCGAGTTACAGACGAGAACTTGTAATAAAATGTCGATGGTAATTCGTGACGAGTTGATTGCCGAAGAGAATAACAGCACGTCCAAATGCGATGAGTTAACGACATATCTTTTAACTTCGAACGTCCGTCACATGGATTTGAATAACATCTTCAGCCCGCTTTTTTATCCGTATCTATATAACATGGATAGATCGCCAGAAGAAGAAACCGTAGAACAATTGGATAATCGATACACTAAAGTGTTCAATACCTCGATAAATGACAAACTAAACAAAACTTATAGTTCATTGGAGAGTCCTCCAGAAAATGCTAAAGTTTGTAGAATGACGCCATCCGGAGTACCAGAAAATATTAACGATAGCATTGACTTTACTATTCTCCACAAATCCAGTTGTAACGATTTGTTGGCTAGTAACAGTACTGAGTCGACTACAACGATATCGGGTGATAAGTCAATGGAGAAATCGATTGATTCTGAGATACTTGAAAATTGTGAGTCTTCTGAAACGTCAGTCCTTGCATTTTCAAGACAAGCTCCCGATGGCGGTAATCCTGTTGAAGATACAAGGCAAGGCATATTAGTTACACGGCAAGAAGATGATGAAACCCAACATTCATCGTCAGGTAATTACAATTAATCTGGAGTAACACCAGTTTCTTTACCAACAATTACTATTATAAACTACAAATATACACATACATAAGCAGAGATAAATGCATGTAAATTGATGATTTAAAGTTTATACGCGGTTTGTCAGTTTATAATACACGCGATTTACGTGATTAGTTTTATTTAATGCTTAAGGTATATACACGCTGCTATTTTGCAGACTGCTAACGTATATACATATTAATAATGTATATCGTCGTATAATGCACATTACTAATTGTTTAAAACATCTACTTCATATGAATATACATAATTTAACTATTTTTTATATAATTTTTGTGTATATAAATAAAGCAAGATTTATATGATATTAAATTAGATAAATCTGGATTAAATTTGATACATATTAGATATATATATATATGAAGTTTCTTTAATAAGTATAAATAGGATTAATCAGTAAAGTAAGCCGAGAGATAAGCTTCCCTACGTATCCACTGCGCAGCATCTTTAGGATGCATCAACCATATTTTTGCAGTTGTACTTTCATGACGATGCAGAATGGAACAGTCTCGTATTTTCTGAAATAAACGTATAAATAAAAAAACATATTCTATCCTGAAATCAGTCTAGGAATCTTACACGAAACTTCTTTAATTCCCCTCTTTTATATTTGGTTTCTTTCGTATAATCTCTGTCCATACATTGCCTACATAGGAACACTTCGTTTCGTAAATGCCAATAATCATCGACTGTCCTTCTGCCACACAGTTTGCATACGTCTGTGTTCCTACTGCAGCATTTTAAATCTACTCCAAGTTTCATTTTCACTCTACTACCAAAGCTATGTTCGAACGCAGCATCTCTTCTCTTAATAACAACATACATCCCGGGTCTATGTTAAAGTGAACGTTTATATGTAAAGAATGCAATTAGTGTTGTAATTAGAGATAAAATGTTATTAATACCCTGGATTCTTATTGAAAACGAATGTCCGCCTTTTGGTATTTGAATCAAATGGATACTTCGATTTATGTACTTGTTTAGGGAAGGTATCATAATCGCATGGTGATGGGTAATCGTCTTTCGATAAAATTGGTTTACTAAATCTGGCAATGCCACTGTAACCCTTTTTGCTAATGCTACGTGAACAGGGCTGAAGGAAACTATCAGCTTATAACTTCTAATCAAACAATTAACATATTATACGTTGGGAACATTTAATTGTACCTTAGACTTAATTGCTTTAAACGACTGCAAAACATCGTATGAATTTGGTGCTATATTTGGATGATCCTCTAAAGTATAAGATCTCATAAATGGACTCATGCCCTTTTTGGTAGTGTCTCTAGGACACCCTGACCCGAAGCATATCTTTTGCTGCTCTTGCTTTTGTATAACATACTTGAAACCTATTTGTGTCAGATCAAAACTTTTATTCATGCAATAAAATGATTCACTATACTCTTTAATTACGAATAACGTGGAATATTGATAATAAACATACCTTCCTGGCTAGTCGGCATTATTACAAAATGCAAGAACTGTAAATTTATTGTATATAAAATACATCAATGTTACATTCGTAAATTAATGAGAGCACTATAATAAATGATATGCGCCCTGTTTATTGATCAAACAATAAAAATAATAGTTTCTTTTTTAATTATCAAATACTGCATATTTTGTCAATTTGCGTCTCAGGATGTACTGATTCAGCGCCCTCGTCAAGCAGACTACGCATGCTTACATCGTATCGTTAGATATATATAATAAAGCCACGGTGTTAGAGTCAAATTCAAGACTTTCTCTAAAAAAAATTCTCATTATTCATTGCTGAAAATTGTAGGAATAATTGGGAACCGATGGAAATAAATGTCGCGTTCGAGCAGACTTAAGGGATACGTAAAGATCGGAGAAAATAGTAAAAGAATATTTTAAGAAGAGGAAATAGTACGGAAGTTAAGTCGAATAACAGAGTGCGGTAGTCTCACAGCAGGTCGATGGTGCTGTTCGTACCGGCGACGGTTCGTTCGCAGCCGTCTCTGCTGGTCTTTGCTTCGCGATGCGCCCACTGATGTGTGTTTCTGCACATGGCCGTGCCGCCCAACGGGCTTCTACATTGTTCCACGGTTTTTCGCACTTTACCACCGGTAAATCGACTTATTATAGTTAGATTTTTTATCCATACGATCGAAAAACACGCATTCCGTGCCTTGAACTAAACAAAAACTGTTTTTCGCGCTGATAACAATAATTAATGAACCAAAAAGTGAGTCACGGGTACATATCACACCAGTGTTTAGTTCACAATGTATTATTAGTATTTCAGTAGATTCCTCGAACTCTACTTTTTCGAAATTGTTTTATAATTCAATAAAAATCTGTACTGTCAGATTTTCTCGGTGGACCTTTTGCTTAAAATCATTATGTTGTAATGTGGCATTCAAGGACGCACAGTGACAAACAAATCGTAATTCTCCCATGTTACTAAATCTATCAAATTTTTATATTTATCGCCTCATATGAAGTAATTGTAAGAACCTGCTGAATTAGAAATCTTTAGAACAAGTATGGTGCTTCCTAAAATACAGAGTTCTGGTATTGTAATCATTTACAAATATTTGCTACAACGATGATACAGTCCTTTTTCTAAATATATTAATAATTATTGAACGCAGTTCGATTTTAATTGAATTTTGTTAAATCCTCTGAACATTCAGCTTATGGATGTCTTTTTCAAATTTTGATATACTTGTCAAATTTTTTTTATTAACGATTAGACATAACAATATCTGTCTAAACATTTATAGAGGTGATACCAAATTGGCATGTTATTGTACCAGAGAATTGATCATTTTATGTTGTACTCTATCTTAAATATGATATACTTACACTTTGATGTATTTTGTATGATTGTATTTATTATTTTTAGAAGAATTATTTTATATATTACATCCACCATGACTACATCTTCAGAAGATGTTCTTATGCAAGTAGGACAAGTGCGTTATAAAAAGGGAGATGGAACTTTGTATGTCATGAATGAAAGAATAGCTTGGATGCTTGATCATAGAGACACAGTGTCCGTCAGTCACAAATATGCTGACATTAAATGTAAGAATACTTGTATAATGATTAAATTAATGTTTAATAAACGGATTGTTAAAGGAAAATCATTTTACTATAAATTTACTGTATTATTTTGGTTTTCAATATAACAATGCTTCGATCATTCGTTCTATGTCTATCAATATTAAATGTATAAATTGAATTTCTCATTGATATTGATTAAGAGATTTTACAAGTAGAAATCATTCTTTCAAAGCTTTAATGCGTTTTACTATATTTTCTACTATAGTGCAGAAGATATCGCCAGAAGGAAAATCAAAAATACAGTTACAAGTCGTTCTACACGATGGTTCATCATCTACATTTCATTTTGTAAATAGAAATGGTCAAGAGGCACAGATTAAAGATCGTGACGACGTGAAAGACTTACTTCAACAGTTATTACCGAAATTTAAAAGGAAAGTGAACAAAGAACTGGAAGAGAAAAATAGGTGAGATAATTTATTTGACCCGTTATCGAACACTATAAGAACAAAGTAACAATGGTTAACAGGATGCTTCAAGAAAATCCTGCGCTACTTCAGTTGTACAGAGATTTAGTTATTACGCAAGTAATTTCATCTGAAGAATTTTGGACGCAGCATGCTGCAGAATATACACAAGCTAAAAAGAGTCAAAGACAAGAAATAGGTGTAAATAGTGCTTTCTTGGTAAGAAGCTATGTTCATTAAAGTCCATTCTAATTGTAACATTGTTTGTAAAATTGTAATAACTGTTGAATATCTGCTGTTTACAGGCCGATATAAAACCGCAAACCGACGGTTGCAATGGATTGAAATATAATTTAACCGTTGATGTAATAGAGTGTATCTTCAAGACCTATCCGGCAGTAAAGAGAAAACATCAAGAGAATGTGCCTCACAAAATGTCGGAATCCGATTTCTGGACAAAGTTCTTTCAGTCGCATTACTTTCATCGGGATCGTATCAATGCAGGGACCAAGGACCTTTTTACCGAATGTGCCAAAATAGACGATCAAGAACTTAAAAAGGATATTCAGTCGGGTATCAACGATCCGCTGGTGGATTTAACTTCTTTTGAAGATAAAACCGTAGACGAACATTACGGTCCCAATAAATCGGACAAACTTTCGGGAAACATTGTACATCAGAGTATGATTAAAAGATTCAATCAGCACAGCATCATGGTCTTAAAGGCTAGCACTGCCAAACAGTCCACGCAATCCGTTCAGCCGCAATTAAATGGATCAACGCCGTCGGCGAGTAAACCTACAGCACCCAGTAATTTAGACGAACGACCAAAGACTAAAAAAGTAAGTCTGCATCATTTCAACCGTGAGACGTTCAATAGTATTACATATGTCTGTTTATTTCCAGCTTAGAATACAAGAGAAACTAATTTATGATGATCTTGATACTACTCAGGACACGAACACGATTAATAGTGCACCGTTAAATTTAACTCATATAGACAGGTATTTACACGGTCCAGTGCCAGGATATGGCAGTACTGAACCGACGTCTGAAGAACTTTTTATGACGGTAAATCAGTTAAAAAAAGAAGCTAGCGGTTGGCTGACGGGAAGCAGTATACCGAGGCAATTAGCAACGTCATTAGTTAGTCCGGCTGCGGCAGTCTCAGCTCTAGGAGAATTGACTCCTGGTGGTTCTCTAATGAAAGGCTTTAGAGAGGAGAGTCTTGGACGTAAGTGGATATAATTAATTCTGAACTGGAGCAGTACAACAGTCACGACAGATAGATTATTGTCTGTTACAGAATTAATACCAAAGGATTTAGAAAAAGAATTACGAAACGTATATGTCTGTACGTGCGAACTTTTAAGGCATTTCTGGCGAAGCTTTCCACCGACAACTCCGCAGCTCGAGGAGAAAGCTGTGAGGATGCACGAAGCGTTACGCAGATTTCATTCTGCCAAACTTAAACCTTTCGAAGTAAAACAAATTCTATACATTTTTCATACGTCCGTCCGTGTCACTCTTTTTAGATAAGCTTATTTTTCTAGGATCGTGTTCAACGAGAGTTCTCTGCTGTTAGTCAACACTTGACGAGTCATTTAAATCAATTGTTAAACACAGCATATAGGAAATTCGCAGTCTGGCAGCAACGAAAGATGCAAATGAGGTAGCCACTGAATAAGTTGTCGTACAATTGAAACAGAATCAATGTGAATAAAGAGCAGAGCAATATTGGTGATCCTATACATATTGCATTTTACAATGTTACCGTAAATTAGGGATTAATATGGGTGTATTTCATAAAAACCAAAGCTGATTCGTGTCATGCATCCTATGCTGCCACATGTTTATTTATTTCTTAACTTTAAAATTCTCATAAATCTATTACTTGAGTTCATTTGTAAAAACTACTTCATTTCATTATATTTAGTATATAGTTTATTTATTTAATTTCCATAAATTGTGTGTCACATTGTACGACTTAATATCGGTCAGTTGTTGATAATCATGTTGAAATTAAGAGAGAAAATCGAAGCGGGGGGTGTAATTTCGTAATTATGAAAAAGGAAATTATTATTACGTATAGGATAAAGTTAGTATTTATAAATTTTCAAAAAGAGAAAGTTGTGATTGCATGTGGGACGTCTAAAATTTATGAAATGCATAGACGAATCGTGCGTAAAGAGAAATGTCTATATATTGTACGATATCAAAGTAGCTGTGATACCGCCACTGTATCTTATCAGGCTTTATTGAGTTTCAATGCTATTTATTTTTCAATGGTCTGTACATAAGCCAGTACGTTAAATGTTTAATTACAGTGTAATAATAATAAGAACGATGTTCTATACGTAATACCACGTTATATTTTCATTGATTAACTATCATCACGCAGTGGCATCAGTATACTTTCTACGATATCTGCGATATACTCAACCAAGTGTCTTAATTGTTGAATCCTATTTCTTTTTTTTTTACATTAGTGAGTAAGGCAATTATTTGCGAGCACGAAATTCTATGAACTGCCTGCTCACTTTTCCTAGTAGCAATAATTTGGCAGTTATTCAGGTGGGTGATACCTAATTCAATTAATGAGAAAACTCTGCTATCGTACGGCGTTCGTAAATTGCGCCACGATCATTATAATAATATCGATTATAAATATATTCTTACATTATCATTACAATAAATGTTATTATTGTGACTACCAGTATTTGATTAACATTTATTTGACAAGTTTCTCAAGTAATCAACAGGTTGTAATGCACAGTATGTATCTCGAGAAGATAAGTTCCTGGCTCCTGTTTAAAATCAAGTACTACTTTGTCGTAAGATTAAACTGTAAAATCTGTGTAACACCGAACAACATTGCAAAGAAATAGTTTTACAAGTGAAATTAAGTGTACGGAATATCCACGTATGTATTGCGAGGATGTACAGTGAAAGAAAAATATTCGCCCTTGATTCTCTTGAAAAGTCCCGCTTGCCGACTGCCTCCTCTGATGTGCGGTCGGTAGATGTCACGGTTTATTGTTGATTACGTTCAAAATGGTGGCCTATAATGGGAGCTGCGGGGTAATATTGTTCGATTCCCCGCGATAATCGTGCCCGTGCGAAGTTAATTCGCCGCGGTGTCCACACAAATACGGGATCCCTGGTATATCCGGAATGCACGCTCTCCCTCGGACATCTAAATCATGTGAACATGATCACGGTGGCAGCCGATCGTGCGCCGTGCACTGGGCCAAGTTTCTGTAGCCATATTTACTGTGTTATTCCGCGAGACGTTTACACCTTACACACCGGCGAATGTAATTGATAGCCAACACATATGGTCGTTTATTATTAAAAGTAAATTCATCTACTTGACTCGTTTTTTTCGTGATAAAGAATCCAGCAGCGATTTCATTATCCCCGAAGATGAGCTGCTATATACATGAGGAACATTTAAGGATCCTGTGCACATACAATAGGATATGAAAAGACGCTATACTTGATTCTTTTCGATTCTCTAAAAAAGGCGCACATTTATTATTAGCTGTGAGTTAAAATTCATCACCGTTTGTAAAATTTGCAACGAGCGTGAGTTGTGCAATACCGTGCATCGAGGCGCATGGATTCTCTTGTTATTCCTGTGCTACACATTGAATTCTGTAGTGTACCAAGGAATTCACGAGAAACGTGAGTGTTTTCCTTATCAATTCGTAGATATACTCGTGTGACGTTCTATACAGTATCGTTGCATTAATTTCCGTTTTTATTTAAACAACAATTCGTACAAAATAAGTAAAATTGATAATGGAAAGTTTGATGGTATGCATGGCCATTGTTATGATATGATCCAGTTGCTATTTAAGTTAAATAGTGGCTAATTACGAAGTGAATCCTATAAGTTATTAATTTTTACAGGCTAAGATGGAAGAGCCACTATATCATATCGTCAGCCCTAATTACTGGATGAAATTTTACGAACTATGTGTACAGTGAAAATAAGTTTCCAGTAGTTTTCTTTTTTATTTGTGTATAAGAGGTATGGACATAGAAAAGTTTTGACAAATCATGTTATGAATACCACAAACTATATGTGCAACGTATTTCTATATATAAGAGCCTGCGGTACGTGGATCAATCAGGCTGGGCACTATTGTGCCAAGCTTGGGTAATGGATCCCGTTCGTCCATGGTACGCATCATATAATCGTCTAGCCGCGAACAGTGGAACCAGCACATTTCAGTCGACGAGCACAGGCAGCGATCTTGTATCTCATCACTTGACAACTGCTAATCAAGCAGTTCCTTCTACGACGACGTCTCAGTTACTTTTACAAGCAGCACATACAACAGCAACTCTGGCGGGACAGCCGTCTCCTTTTAACCCTGGGGGGTTCCTGTCTCCACCCCCTGTGGGATACGACGTCTTCTCGCCTTTATTTCATCATTCGAATCCGAAACAAGCACACTATGTTACTCAACATAGACAAGCCCTTGCTCAAGCACAAGTAGTGTCCGTAACGAAGCAGAATACGACGACTGAACCTGAAATTCCTGTGCTAAGGGAGAATTATAGTACGGCACACCAGCCGTCATTTTTTGAGCATCAAGGTGCAACGTCGCCTACGACTTCTGCACTGGCCTGGAGTCAACAACAGAGTAACGCACAACTACCTAGTCCGTTTGGAATCTTGCCTCACGAAAGCATCGTCCCGTCATCTCCAGGACCGTCGATTACGAAACCAGCCACCGGCGTCTACGAAAATACGTTTAACTCTCATTTTGTCACGACGCAAACTATAAATAATTTAAATCCTCAATTAACTACGTCTCCCGTCTCTGCCGAGTTCAAATCGTCGAACTTCCCAGACAGTAAGAAGACGGTGAACGTACGATCTCAATCGCCGACAGTAAACGTTAAATCAGTAGTTTCTACGTCTCAGGCGAACAGCACTCAAACTTTCTTTCAACAAGTACCTACTACGTTCAATTCTGATACATTGACAAATAATTATTCTGGGAATCAAACTACGAATGGGAAAGTGCAGCCTTCCCTCCAGCATCAGCAGTCATGCATCGTTTCGACTCCAAATAATACTAGCAAAGACTACAAGATTCCTCAACCACCTGCTAGATCCGTTGCGTCGACGACTATATTCTTAAACACGTCCGTCAGATCTGTATCTTCGCAAGTCCAGGACAAACAAATCACGCGGAACTTCGCTTCGCCACCGAACAAAGCAGGTTCCACGTCGCAACAGAATATACAAACTAAAGCACAGACGAAAATATATCCAGAATTAAGCACACACGCTGATAAACGAAACGAACAAACATCCCATGATAACTCTCAGTCGTCCCCGATCAGCTTCTCCATTATGGATTCACGCGGTTTGAATTACACTGTCGGAAATACTGCGAATTGTGCGAACACCACTGGGAAATTGAACAATAATCAAAGGACTCAATCGAACAGTAACTTGCAAACTCATTCTCAACAGCCGCAGCAGCAGCAGCAGCAGCAGTTCCATGTTTTGAACCAACAACAGCAGCAGCAGCAGCAGCAGCAACAGACACCGTACAGGCATTATCTAACAGGATCTACGACTGATAGCGAATATCATCACTCAGGAAGATCGAAATCTGCTACTTCTACGGATTCTGCTTATTCGTCTAACACATCCACTCAGAATGGACCTGACTGTAGCGTTGTCGTACCTAGAAGGCCAAGTCCGTTGCAAGCTCATTCGCAAGCAAGTCCATTGGGGCACGTTCCAAGCCCTGCTTACCCTATGTACAATAGCCCGATGGCCACTATATCTTCTCCCTCGCCGTTGCAACAGCATACAGAAAACGGAAATCAGTGCACAGCTGCACAACCGTATAAAGCTGTCGTACAGCAACAGGTCACGCCACCGTCACCTTTGGACGTGACAGTACCGCGACCGGCATCGCAGGGACAAGTCGCTTACTCGTCAGTTATAACGAGAGCTCTGGGTACTGCTGAAACTAAAACGAACTATAACACAGATAATAAAACTTACGAGAGGCAGCAGCAAGATTTCTCGCAAACGCAGAAGCAAGTTTGTTGGGAGAATGACAATCGGCAAGCGAACAGAAAATTCTCTGTTACTCTGTACGCCGGTGGGAACACGGAAATTAATTCTCAAACCCTGCCAGTTCAACAACAAGTGCAACGAGTGTTAAATGTACCCGACAGGCAACAGTATTTCGAATCGAATCAAGTAACGTTGCAAGATTTAAGTAGCTGTAGAGGAGATCCTATGAGCATAGTGAAAAATTTACAAACTATACAACAGAGTTCTTGTCAAGTGCAGCAGCAGCAGCAACAGCAGCAACAACAGCAGCAGCAGCAGCAGCAGCAGCAGCAGCAACAACAACAGCAGCAGCAGCAGCAGCAAACCGCGGTTTCCGTTGCTCCAGCTGAACAGCAGAAACAAGTGGAAGAACGACGCAAAGTGGATCCTGCGAACAAGAAAAGAAAAAGCCTAGAGAAGAGCGGGCACAATTCTTTAAACGAGATAAGCGGAACAGCGACGATGACGGAATATTTAAGTAGGATACCGCCGCCGGCGCATCATAACACGAATCAGCAGCAACAGAATGGTTACTTTGATTTTGAAAGATGGAATTTGCCTCCACCTTCGGCCAAAATGTTCCCCGCTGCGTCAGGCGCGTTCAGTTCCCAATCGACGTTGCATCATTCAAGTAATTTCGTCGGTACACCGGCGCATCAGCATCAATCCCTGATGGTACCGCATCATCACGCACCTCCTGCTATCCCGTATTTCCCTGCCTTTCATATTCCTCCGAGCCATCATCACCCACACGAATTTCAATCCTCCGTCGAGATTACTTCAGTCGGTTTCGGCGATAATGCACCAAATCAAAATACTAATTACAATCAAGAAATACGAGACGATCAGCCTAAGGTAATCGTTCCTAATATCGAAGAAGAGTTAGGCTTCCTGCAGCAGAATCAGCAGACAGTTCAAGCATCGAACATATTGAACAAAGATTTCAAGCCATCTAACAAAGATCCCAGTTCGGGTTTCATGACTAGTTATTTGAAGTTCTTGCAAGGCGAGAGGGATCCTTCGCCCCCAGCTGCGATACGTGGCGGTAGGAAAGCAACATGGAACAGGTCAAAACCTTATATTCCCGTGGAGCAGAATAAGCCTAAAGAAAGTTCGATGAATGGAGAAATAGTGAAGCCACAGCCGGAGAAGCCGCCTCCACCTAAAGAAACGCCAGTAATCGATTACACTAACGATCCCAGGTACTTCCCTTTACCGAAGGAACGGAAGAAACCAAATTTCGACTCGAGCGATGACGGTTTCACGAGCGACGACGATTTCCTTTTTGCCCCGAAGAAATGTGACAAGAAAGTAGTGAATACAAGTACGATAGAAGCCGACGTGAAGACGGAAGGTAAAACGAAAAAAGGAAGGCCAATTAAACCTGGAGGACCAACGGATAGAAAAAGACGGGCTGCAGCAGCGGCCGCTGCAGCGGAGGCAGCGATAATTACGAGTGGCAGAAGTAAAAAGTTTGAAGAAGGTATTACACGCATATTATCATTTTTCATGTAAAAGAATATACATTAATATTGAGTCTATGCATAATTTTCACAGTAGATCCTTTACTTTTGCCACCAAGACGAGAAACGTCCAGAAGAAAAGCGAAAGAGAAAACGTCGGTGAAACAGTTCTTAGATCGACAACAGGGTATAGATTACTTTGATAATGACGAGGAGCAAGGCGATTCTGATTCCGATCCTGCGTGGACGCCTGCTGTGAAATTGGTCGGAGACGAAGAGGAGAAGAAGAAGAAGCGCGGGAGACCTGTTATTAGTAGGAAAAGTAGAAGAATTCTAGACGAAGACGACTACTCGTCCAGCGTAGTCGTTGTTTCGAAGAAGTCTGGTCGAAAGAAACATGAAACGCCGTCGAAAACTTCGAACGTTACGGGGAAGTTGTCTTGCAAAATAGATGAGAAACTCCTGGCTTCTATTAGCGATGAGGACATAGACATCTCACCATTTAAGGTGTGTAATTTAATAAATTATTAGTTGTTAAATGCATACAAGGATAATATATTTGTAACATATATATGTACGTTACATGCAGCGTACTGAGGATGAATTAGATGATATGGTAATGGTTTCAAATGTGATCTATGCTAAACAATTAATTTCAGACAAATTATCGAGTTCAACCCCTAACTATTGTACATTGGTATATTTTTCAGTCTGGAGAATTTGTCGTAATGAAGACAGATCTAGGCGAAGAATATCCACCCCTTTGGAGAATAGATGGGAAGACGTTATTGCAAAAATACGAGCCGTTCGAATCTAACGGGAGAACCTTATACCGCAACATATCCACGGTAATACATGAGATTAAAATCCATCATTTGCTTTTCCGGTTTGACACTCATCGACTATGTTTCAGTACTCGGGTTGGGTACCGCAAAATAGACATATATATCAACAAGCTCCAGTTAAATTTTGGCAACAGAGTAAAATGGAAACTGTAGTGGAGTTTCTGAGGGACGAAATGATCGTAGACGATAAGTACGTTTCGTTGTGTTACTGTTCGTCAAATAAGTAATCAAAATCCTTACTATCTTTTCCTTTTCCAGCGAATGTATTAATAAATCCATGAAAGAAAACGAAAAGTATCAAGACAATTTCGAAGTCTACATTCAAACGTTAATATCGCAAGCTTTGGATTCGAATTTCCTCCCAGAAATATTTCAGGAACAAGGTAAATGCTTTTTCTGGAATAAACAATGCAATCTCTGTTTTAAATGTACAGAGTTCGTGTAACATGTTCTTCTATTTCAACAGATGATTATTTTTTATCGAACGTTAAGACTGTCGATGAAGTGACAGAAGAGAGAAAACAACGTCTCCTCCGCACAACGGAATGGCGACCGAACGTTGTAAATGCAATATCAACCTGGCCTTGTCTTAACGTTCTTAAGGACTTGTCTTCCGCGGAGTACAAGGGAAAATCCTGTGCCGGGTGCCAGCAGCCTAAAATTCATGCCAGAGTTTTGTTATACGGTCAACCTTATAACGCAACCACGTTAGAAGGTTCTCCACCCGATCCCAGAATACCACAAGAAAAGGTATTACTTAAGGATGTATTGGCTATACAGTCAATCCCAAAAGTTTATGTACCTTAGAAAAATGCATTTCCTATAATTAAAAAGA